TAATCCTTTTATACATTTCAGAGCAACTAGTATACACATCTGATTCACAACAGGCAACTCAGATCTTCAGATCTCTCTCATGGATACAATAAATCATGAGCGAAGTTTTTAAATTTGGAGTATTAGCATTATAGAAAGACAAGATTTCTCATGTTCGGCCAAATACATTTCAGTTTTGTACATAAAATGCATGGCCGTCTGATTTGTATCAAAATATATATATTATATATACGTATATGTACATTATTCGAAAGAAGTGTCGAGTAAATTTTGCAAAAGTAGATTATTTTTAAAGAAACAAAGATAAAGGTCATTGCATAACCACCAACTGAGTCGATTTAGCCCTGTCCGTCCAGATATTGGCGAATTAGTATTTAAGATAACAATCTGAAATTTTGCATCCTTTTCTTTCCAAGAAGTTGCTCAATAAACGGAATTGACAATGTCGGACCACTTTAGCATATAGCTGCCATACAAACTGACTAATTAAAATCAAGGTAAAGATATTTTTATACCCTTGTATGTTATAAGAAATGCACCTGTAAAGGGTATGATACCGTAATCCCGTGTAGCCTAAGTTAACATTCTTTCTTGTTTTTTTTTTTATTGAAATAGCTTAAAAATATATAAAAGAACTATCTTTAACACAATTTTTTTGTCACAATTTTCTCATGTGAAAATCAGAGATGATCTACTTAATACGGTATAAAAACTGTATTTATCTATATAAATACATATGTCTAAACATAAAAAGTCTCGTAAGTACAACAACTGGCTTTCTTCAAATGATTCCCACAATAAGTGATCCCGGGTTAAGCCTAACTCTATTGCATTTACAAATCAAATGATGACAAAACATATCAGTAGGTGTGCCCTTTACAAGCTTTGTATGTAGTAGTACAACTACTATACGACAAAAACAAAATCCATGTATGTATGTATGTATGTAGAATCCACTCGTACTGATTGTAAATGCAGTCATTCATATGCAAATCGATGCCTAACTTTATGTATGTATGTTAAACGAAACAACTTTTAATCGAATTCTTAACACGCCAACGAATCTCACAGATTTCACAGATTTACTAAATAAGTGCGGGATTAGCGGCTTTTTATTATTTATTTACATACTTAAATATATACTATACATGTGTATGTATGTATGCATATGTATGTTAGTATGTCCATGCAAATGTATATATTAGTGAAGCACAATGGAAAAAATGGCTTTGTGAACAGCGAAATTTAGGCTGAATTAATTTTTTCACGCCACACATAAGCGCTCACACATACACTCAAATACACACACCATACATATACAAAGGGCAAAGTTAGTGTGGTCGAAAACTTAAATTGAAATGTCTGCAACCATCGCCACATGAAATTAGGAGTGCTAGAACTGCGAACAGACCAACAGGCCAACATCATTTTCATCAAAGCAACAAAACAACAAAGTAACAACAACAACTACCGCGCATATCCTTTCGCATTTAAAAGCTGTCGCTGGCAAACGCCCCTAGGCTCTTTTCAACTGACTTCCTTGCACGCCAGTAATGTCATTTTCGCACACAAACACACACACACACATATACGCGCGCACACATAACAAACACTTGCAATGAAAAAGCAATAAAAATTAAGCTAAAATACATAATAAAATAGAAAAGGAATAGTCAGCATTAAGCGTAAGCATCGAAAAACTATGCAGACACAGGCAGACGCGTCAGAAGACCTTAAAGCTGAGCAAAGCAAAACTCGTAAACAGAAACTGAAATTTTCGGACATCAGCAGCACGCATACACACACACACCCAAGCATAGTCGCACGCGCATAACGCAAGTGGCAAAGATGAAATGATGAAAAACGAACAAAGATGTGGCACAAAGCAAAAGGCAATGAGTACATGAATACGAAAACAAAATACAACAATAAATATGCGACTTTGGATTTTCAGCGCGAGTATATTGTATTTCGTTACGTATGTAAGTCTGCATATAGTTGGATATATTGGCCGCTTACTGAGGGTGTCCTGCTGGCCAAACTTCATGCTACAGCGCTTGAATCTATTGTGAATGCGTGCAGCAAACCGGAGATTGAGATGAAGACGCGTTGAGCGCGAGATTTCACTCAAAACGCGGTAGCTAACAAACGTGAGAGAGCAGCGACGGTTTTATGTGGAGAGATGTGCGTGTTTGAATGTAGTAATGCGGTGAATCGTGCTGCCATATTCGATTTATTGGCAGGATAGAATGCAGCATAATGCTTAGTACTTTTGATATTATTATTAAGAAAATTATTGAAAATGCGCTCTTTTTATTTGAAAAGAACTTAGTCGTGAAATAAAAAAAAAAATTCATATTTCGATAGGTTGTAGGTTTAAATATAATATAACATACTAAAATTATAAATCAATATCTTAAATAGCTTTTGAGTTACAGCCTTTTAAAATGTAACGCTCAGTTTAATCAGTTTATCTTTAAATGCGTGTTTCTTAAAAGAGCATTTGTCAAATTTGCTAGAATAATCACTCAAAAACAAGTGATCCGATTACTATCAAATTTCTATGTATATAGTTCTCCATATAATGAACTACCATTTTTTAATCTGATCAAAAATCGTATATTGGCAGGTCAAAAACGAGCAAAATGTTGGATAAAATTTTTTTTTTTTAAACACCGCTATACTGTCAATTTTTGGTTTTTTTTCGACTGTAGGTTATTGAACTGACAATGTCTACTACAAGTAGTAATAATTTTTTATGTAAGTTTCAACCACGGAGAAGGCCGGAATCACTGCTATACTGGAGGACCTGGTAGATCGGGTGGAACACGTAAAATATTTAACTTTTGTCTCTAAAAATGCCACTGTGCATTCTTAAGATATGTATAAATATACCCATAAAATTTTAAATTAATTGTTACGGTTTTCTTTTTAGGTTGTCACACAAAGTGTGCCCTTTAAATTATAAAAATTAAATCTGTTTTAAGACAACATTATTTCCCATTTTTTAACACTTTTTGTTGCCTTTAAAATATTCGCTTTTTCCGGTCCTAGAAAATGTGAAGCCTCGCAAGGGAGCCAATTTTTCAAAAACGTAGTGATAGAGCTTTGATGTTATCGTAAAAAATATATCTTTGTCAACCTGAATCCACTATTTTTATTTTTTTTAATCATAAGTGGTTAAGTTCTAGCGTCGACGTGCTTCATACTCAATAAAATATAATAAAAATTTTCATTATCTCTATATCACTACCAATAAACATTTTTTTCTTCCATTTTTCATTTTTTAATGATGAATGAACCAGTTTTCAATAACTCACGAATTTTACAGAAGATACTTGTGATATCTTTCATAATAAGGCTACTCTATAAGCAGTGAATCCCTACACAAAAATTCCTTTTGTGATCTTTTGAATGAAGACCTGAAAGTACTTCAGGGGTTGTATCAACTTGTAAATTTAAAAACATCGATTTGCATATATGTTTTTGCATATACTCTTTTGGTAGAAACAATAGGGACGAACCCATTGGCTTATTTGAAAGCAGAAAAAAATTTAGCAACATATCTAATGTACATATATTTGAGAATATTCTCCGAAAATTTGAAGCACTTTTTTAATTAATCAGTTTCCAAAGCTTTAAACGCGTTTTCCTTGAAAAGCTGTTGTATGAGTCGGTGAACAACATTTCTCAAAAAAAGGCTGGACTTTAAATTTTCACATGGCCTTGAAAAAAAACTTTTTTGAGAAGTCGCCATTTTGTCAAACATAAAATTTTGACTAATCCTTCGATCATTTTCTGTATTCATCTAAATAATAATAATTTTTCATGGTTTTTGCATTTGATATAATTTAAGCAGACAAATCTTCCTCACGGCCAGACACCTTTTTTCGGAGGTTTCGGAGGAAGTAAATTTAAATAATACTGCAAATGTAAATTATTTGTATTTACTTATTAAATAAAATGCCTCTTCAAAAAAATTTTCAAAAACGCCTTATTCCTGACTTGCAAGGGAATATAATGCCTTATATAATTTAAATAAAGTCGTAAAAAAATTAAATGTTCAAGATTATAACTTTTGCAGATAAAAAATTGAGACTTATGTGAAAAAAATGGTTTTAAGTTATTTGATTAATATATATTTATACATTTTTTTATTAAGAATTTGTTTTCAATTCAAAATTTTATTTTACATCATTTATTTATCTGGCCTATTTTGAAAGAAATATTGGCTAACAAAAAAGCAAGCGCGTGGCAACATTTTCAATGCAGCATTGGCAACGGTATCAAAGCCAGTAGCAGCAGTAACCGCAGAGACTACCGCTGCTGATGCGATGATGAATTCTCAATAAAAGCGTTGCAATTTACCAAGCCAAGCAATGCAAAGCACAGAAGTGTTTGCGCAACGCTTATACGAGTACTTTGCAAAACAGAAATTAGATGAAGAAGAAATATAAAAAAAAAGCGGAAAAGAGTAAATAACGCTTTTGACCCGTCGTCATACAACATGAAGGGCCCTTAAGCTGTCACCATTCTTTGTGGTTCATGCCATATTTGCTTTCGTACATTGTATCTCGCGGCCCATAAATTACGCAGATAAACAAAGTCGCAAGTATGTATCGCTCTGTATGTGTCTACGGCACCTGACTATTCTCACTTGAAGTTGTAATTAAAAAATTATAAGACTTGTACGTAGCTAATAAGTGCTTATGATTGCAAGGAGTAGCAGTAGCAGCGTATAAAAAAAATGAAAAATAGCGTGCAACAATTAAACAACAACACAAAGTACATATAAACAATAAAGTAGCGCATACTTACATACTTATATGTAAGTAAATAGATATACCAGTAACTTTGAAATATGTACACATTACCAACTTTGCAGTGTACTTCACTAAATACAAAAATTATATTATGTACATACATACATGCAAGCATATACACAGCACTATATTATATATGTATGTATTTATTCATTTCGTAGTTAAAATTTAACTCACATTTAGTACGCCAATTTATGCGACGCCGAATTATCCTTTTTTCCCATCAAAAAATATCGATACTGACAATTTTTCGCTCATACAAAATGTATTAACGTTGAATTTCGCCTTCAGTTGTTGTTGTTGCTGGGTTCCTGTGTGGAAAATTCACTTCCAATTGACACTTTTGTTACAATTGGTTTTTCACGAAATATCGCTTATGCAGCTACATGCATATACTTACAAGTATACACTCAAGCGTGTGTATGTTTGTATGTATTTAGTAACACATAGCATTTTTCACAAAAATTTTGCACCTTTCACTTCACACTTTTTTCTCCACTTTCGGGTTTCTACCCGTTTCGTGTACGCGCAGCACCACAATCAGGAGGAGTCGCACATACAAAAGCAGTCGTAGTGGTCGGTTGTCGTAAAAAAAATTTTTTTTTAGGCAAAGTATTATATATTTATTTGACGGCTTTGCTTTACTCTGCCAGCAAATTGTAATTCAATTCGATTTATTATGTACTATATTATGTGTAACAAATAACTGTAATGCGATTTATAAACTTTTCGTGCACGAAAATTCGCCTTACAGGAGTAAATTTTCCCATAGCCAAAATTAATTAAATCAACTTCTTACATTAGTTGTGTGTGTGCATGTATGTGTATGTACACTTATTTTCTTGTTAAAAACTCAGGTTTGTCACAAATTCGTTTGAGCGCGTATAATTTTAAACTTTGTATTTCACCGTTGCGTGCTCAAAATCAACTGAAGTTGCAAGTTGTGAATTGTGAATAATTTTGTGTTGCCTGAGTGAACGGCGCTCAGCGTTGTCGACTGCGCTGCGTGCGTTGTGCTGATTGAGTGAAACTGTTTGGTCATTACCGTAGGCATCATGCAGTCGTGGTGGCGAGTTGGTATTTTAAACTTGTACATGTGTATGTGTGTGCTGTGTATGCAACATTTACTGCTTAACTTTAATAAAATGAAATTTTTTTTTAAATAAACTAAATGTTTACATATTAATTAGTTGGTTTAACTTTGAGAAAATTTTAGAAAATATATACACACATGGTCAAAATTAAACCTACATTCATGGTTCTATAACTCGTTGAAAAATAGCGGTATCCTGCTTTTTCGGGATTATTATAAGTACTTTTCAGGATCCCGAAATATTTTCAAAATTTTTTCGGCAGATTGAGTTCTAAGTAATAAAGCAGGTATATGAATCCCGAAATTGAATTCCTTGAAAATTTATTATTTATTGCATTAAATATTTATAAAACAATGTACAGTGTATAATATTTTTTGACCTAGTTTAGTATATGACAGATGTTATATTGTTCCGAAAATTCGACTTTGACTTCTTTTTGGTGGCACACGGCTTGTTGCAGATCGCTTGACTTCACTCTCGATTGACTTTACTTTGACTATACAACTCCTATGGGTCGAGTCATAGTTAAAGCGCTGGAAACTGCAAGGCTTGTGTGCTTGCTGGGAAAATATATCATTACTACCAGGCGGAGATTGTGCCAGAGATCCCTTGCCCACTTGCGCTCTACGCCTAGAAATCTTGGCTCAATGTAAGCTCAGCGAACGACAATCTCCAATCAGTTCCCATAACAGACAGGTTCTACCTTACCGGAATTTACACGAATTTATCCGATTAGATCCAATAGGTCCGTCTAGTGAGATCCTTGCTGTTAGTAATACACACTATTGTCTATTGAGTGAGTTTGTTTTAACTTGTTCTCGTCCGAGGTTTATTCCGCTTAAGTACTTGGACTATTGCCTTAATGTGTCCTAATTTCACAGAATTTTATTTTAAAATTCATTCTGTGCTCTCTGAGAGCTTAGCACCCAGCTCGAGAGCACTTAATAATTATTAGGTGATTAGATACGAGTCAAATCAATTTGTTTAGGAAATGAGATGATCTTTCTATTATTTATTGTATTATCAAAAAATTCAAGAGAGTTTCCTTAAGTGCCGGAACTCGCCGAAAAGTTTATTAAGAAGCACACCCAGTGCAGCAGTGTCAATTGAGTGAGTGACAACTAATTTCACTCGACTTCGACTCATGCTTGTTCAATATGCCACAGCATATAACTTGGGAAATTGAGTTTTTTTTTTATAAATTCCACAACATTTTCTGATTGTTTTCACATAGTAGAAGAGAAGTGAGAAATAAACTTTGAGTGAAAGTCAGCATTGAGCAGTTAAAAGGAAATTAATATTATATAAAGTTTAAAGAAAATTTATTCTTTGTAAAGCAGTAAAATTTCTTATCAATTACCTACGCTAAAATTTAACTTTTTCCTATTGTTTATATCAGCACTTACACTCAATGCAACTGATAGAGAATGCAATTGAGTTTTCATGATATGGAGCGATTTGCCGCAGTGATTGAGTGCTGAGTAATTTTTCGATGACAAAGTAAACTATAATTCTAATAAGAAAAGGTGTTCGTAAGCGGAAATAAATTTAAAATTTGCTTATAGCTAAAGCTCAATTATAATTAATACGCTCTAAATTAAAATTAAATTTTTGTCATCTTCAACGGCGTAAATTCGTCACGCCATCAATGGAAATATCTGTTGGCTGCTTGCTGGCACTTTTCCGCTTTATCACTATCACTTCCGTTTTTCGCATCCAGAATGACTCTAATCGGCTTATAGTTATTATTGTGTTTTTTGTTTTTGTTGTGCTGTTTGTTTTCTTCTCCAAAATCTTTTTAATAAATGTGACATATGTGTGCTTGGCGAGTCCGGCGAAATGACGCGCAGTTAGTCGAGCATTCACTAGGTACTCTAGTAAACTATATAAATACAGGCGAAAACAAATAGAAGATCAGACACCGTTTTTATTACGATCGAGGGATTAAGCTTTAAGTGTTATTGTTGTCAATAATGCAAGCCTAAAAAGGCGCAATCACACACGGGGCACAGCGCGGCACAAACACACATGCTTCACATAAGTGAGATTGCAAGATAAACACATAAACATACATATGTACATCTGTAAGTATTATTGAATAGAACGTGCCCTCAACAAAGAGGCATCTACTTTGTGACAATTTGTAACAGTCAGCAACGGAATTGGCGTTTTTTTGTTGTAGGTTGTGCGCATGTGAAAACCGTGTTGCATATGCGTTTTGGAGCATAGTGGCATGTGATTAGTGTCCGATTGCGCTAATGTTCTAGATAAGGAATTTTTGCGATGTACAGTAAATAATTCGGCACAGCCTGCAATGTGTGGAAAATTCACCAGACAACACGAGTGGAGACTCAATTTTGTGAAGCATCCGCGATCTAGGACGATTCTCTTAGTAAGCAACTTATTTCAAAAATCGATATTTGTTAATACTCAAACTATTTATCATAATAACTCCCTTAAGCAGCGAACTGCCAAGCAACAAACTGTCAAATAGCGAAGACAGTTCCGACAAGACGAATTTCTGCACGAACCCTCTTTTTGTTGTAGAAACTCGATAATAATAAAATAGATAGCTCAGATACTTGAATCTAAGTGCATGGTGCAGGTATGATAAAATTAGCGCTGAGCACCCTTAACATATCAAAAGGCGCTTAACTTCAGAATTGGAACTCGATACTACAGTCTCTGCATACATACTACAGAAATGATCGTGTCCTTTTGTATTTTCGCATAATTCGGAACACATTAAGTCAACACACTCTTCAGATCGACACAGAGTAAGGTCCTATATATCGTACACAGCATTGCCCTCAAGTATATACAGCTGAATTTATGGAATGGCAGGTAATCTTCTTAACGCGAAGTGTTACAACGACGTGAAGTCAGTTGAGAGTTGGTTTAGTGCTGCAAGCCTGGAGCCAGCCATTCAAAAGTAGGAACCGGAAGTTAGTCGAAGGTAATTTGTCAAGATAAAGATAACAATTGGAGAACTTGACATTCGATCTCAGAGTCCAAGAAGTAGCTTTTAGAATCGATTGACATGAATGTTAATAACAGATAGAAGTCGGTATAGTGGAGGCACGGTAAGAAATGAGACGGTTCCAGGCTATAGTAGTAGACTCAATATTACTCTACTCAGCAGCGGTATGTGCTGCCAGTAATCGGAATCATACCATTCCTGGATTCAGTTAGCAAGATATCGCGATATCAAATCCTTTTTTTCTTTGATTGTGAAGCTTTCTTTGATTCGATGCTTGAATCATTTGGGTTTAGTTGAATCTAATCTAACTTTTGAGAGTTTTTATTGTAGTATTTATTCTTCAAAGATCGTTTTGCAAATATATTATCAGCTCTCTAATGGACTTTATACTCTACTTCACATACTTGTTTTATACATGCATATATAATATAACAGTATACGCACACCTATGCTATGTATGTGTGTGTGTGCTCAATTAATTTGTTGGTGAGCAATTTATAATTAAATCTTCTCACAAAATCAGGCCTCTTAGATGTGGGTACCCACTTCAATTAAGGGTGTGAAAGCACACGCACACACAACTAATGTAATTAAAGCTTAAAAGAAGGTGTCAAAGAACAACACACATGACTGCCTAATTGGAAAATGTACTCTAATGGAGAGCATAATAGAGACAATTACGATAGAAAATTAAAACTGAAAAATCGAAAATCTCAAATATTCAGACAATTAGTATTAATTTATTATTTATTATTTGCATTATTTATCATACTCGTAATTATTTATTACACTCATACACTTTTATTATATAACTATTTACATACATAGTACACGCAAAAACACATTTAGTTTACTTTGCTTGGTTCCACTCCATTTTCTCACTTTTCCTTTAAATCACAGATGTATTACTTCCGTTTTCGTTAGTGTCCTCGTCGCGCGACGTCGCAGCTGCTGTGAACGCTGCGCTGCGCGCCATCGGCGCTGCATTCGTCACCAAATTCTCAATCGAACGGAACGATGAATAGTTATTGGCCGAGAGTTCGCAGTGTTCGGGCGTTGAAGGCGACACTACCGCTACGGTATCGGGGCGCATCTGTGCAGTCGCATGCGAAGTCGAACGCAGCACGGTGACCACGTCGTCTGCGGTGTAAGGTGCACCACGTAAATTGCGCTGTCCAGCATCTGTTGTGATTGAACGTTGACTGCGTACAACGCCGCCGCCAATTGTGTGATGTTGTTGGTGTTGTTGCTTGACAGTTAACTTACGGCCGAGCGACAGTGAGCGCTGCAATTGCTCACCTGAGCTGCATGGGAAAGTTTGCTGCTGATCCGATGTTGTGAACGCCGTATTTGTAATGGGTATATCGGCGCTGGTGTAATGTGGAGCATCTAATTCGTGTGTATGTAGCGATGTGGTGGGTTGATTACTCTCCGAGTCGATGGTGAGTATGGGTCGTGCGCGACTGCGTTCACCGAGCACACTAAGCCATTGATTTGGGAGAGATAGCGAAACATTAAAACTGGTTCGCAATGAAGTTTAACTTGTGTTGTACTTACCGGCGTACACTACGTCGTATGCTTTGTCGTAGTATCTTGGCGAAACGCGCTCCAGTCGCTGTGGTGTAAGATGGTGGTGGCGTATATTTTGGCGGTGCATCATCTTGTGCCTGATAAGAGTTGAGTTCGAGATTTCCAACGGCGCCGTTGCCACCGCCTCGACTGTAGTCGGTTCTACTGCGATCGCTTAAGGAACTGTTGCGTATTTCATGTAAACTGTCGCCGGGACGATAGAGCAATTGGATGCGCTGGAAAGTTGGGTGAGAATACTTAGTGGTGCTTTGAAAATTTTCGATCAGAAAAAATAATGCTTATTTGCTATATACAGTAAAAGCCCTACCAAAGCTCTTGTAACTCTATAATTTTACATTCATTCTAGATGAGCTTCGACGCTATAAATTGGAAGTTTATTTGCTACTAAAACCAATTCAAGATCATGGTTCAATATTGATTATTTACAAGTCTGATCTAAGGTGGGGATCACAATTAAATCGAACATTATTCATTTAAATTAAAAACAATAAATGTGTCAGTAACACAGTAGTAAAATATGATTAGGTAAATAACCTTTTAAAATGTTTGAAAATATCTATTTTATTACGAACTATAGGTTTCCTGTACAAAGAAACCTTTCCAAAAACTTTCCGATGCAAACTTAATTAGAAAAATGAACTTCCGAACTAAAATATATACTACCAAGTTCTACCTACGAATTTAATGTAGTATTTCGTTTCAAAAAAATGTAGCCCCAGCATCGGAGAATGAATAATTCTAAGCGCTTTATAGTTTTAACGGAATTTGTTTGGTATGTTTGAATGATAAAGTATGAGACCTAGAGGCGGGGAAGAAACAACTCTTAGTTCTTTATAGTTTTCTCGAAAAAATGGTTATAATGGGATGGAAAAGTGTGAGATTACTTCCTTTTTTGCTTTGCTGTATGCTTCGAATGTTAGTGCTACCACTGAACCGCTGGTTATCTTTTTGAGAAAACATGCCTCATCCCTTATGAACCCCTAATATTTAATTTTAGAAGCATCAGTTGATATTTCGTTACTGCCAACACAGAGCCATGGAGAGAAAATCCCGGAGAATATAAAATGCAGGTCCCCTGATCCATCAATTTATTGAAATTATATATATTGTAAGTTGTTGCAGAGCACCGGGCCCCCCTGTGAGTTTCGGGACTGGGAGGAATTGTTCCCGATCTCCCCCTCTCTTGTTCACTATCTCCACACCTCAACTGATATACTTACATCCAAAATATCCGGCGGTCCATTTGTTAAATATCGATAAATTTGTATAATCGCTGTAACCGGTATTAGTAGCAGGAAACCAATTTGCAATGAAGCTGCCACTTTCCTGGCCCAGTAGGTGAAGTACGACTTGCCACGCCAATAATAGAACTGATTCGAAAACGATGACTTATAGCTGACCACCGATAATGTTATCAAACCAATTGGAAGTAAAACATTCCATGCCAAGGCGACGAACGCGGACAGCGTGTTCGTAAACTTTAATTTATTTACTAAATCATCACCATTGTATGGACGTCCGCGTATCAAGAATACACCAAATATCTGTGCCGTCCAAAGAATAGCCACAAACCATGAGCCACCTAGCACCAAATCCATATAATACAGTATGGATATGCCGATTTCGGTGGTGAAGGGTACACCCAAGAGCATGGCAGTGACGCAACTCAATAAAACAGCGCTAATTGAATTACCCAATGCGCTGGAAATAGGTTTCCACATGGCGCACAATTGTGATATGCCCAACAGGGTTAAGGCGCCGAAAATCACAGCAGCCCAAACCCACGAGACGTTGGCACGTGAGGCTATCAATGTGGCCGGAAGAATTTCGCTGACGAAACGTAAAGCTTGGTAGCCGCTCTCTTGATGCGTTAGCTGTCGCCGATATGACTCTCCAATAAAACTGGAGTAATGTGGCATCCATTTCGCTGGTATTGAAATTATATTCAAGTTGGTTATGGATTCTGGCGCGAAGACGGACTTTGACGATTCGAGTGATTCTATTGTATAAGCAAAGTTTATTATTTGCGTGTCGTTTTTAAATAGATGTACGACTTACCAAACGAACCCGGCACATAAATGTAGGAATGCTGATTTAGTATAAGAACACATAGTGTGCCCAGCATTGCTGCCATTGATAGACTGAACAATGTAAGCGTTATGGCAAAGATAGCATCGCGTCTTAGTGATATTTCACTGCGACTAGGCGGATGTCCACAGCTTGTGATGGAGATTACTGAGGAGCCAAGTAGACCCCAAGTTAGGAATACTTCCTGTGCTGCAGCAACCCACATTTTGGAATTTTCGAAGAAGTCACTGAAGTCCGTTGTGGTGATGACGCTCTGTGACGAAATAAGTAAATTTTAATCACATGATACTTTCAAATATTAGGAGGGGCCCAAGCCATTGAGTTCAAATACATTAGTTATTGAATTAGTCCATATATTTAAACACGCAACTTAATCTACGACTCAAGCTCAGCTTCAAACTGATTGCACAACTACAGTTATGGAAGCATAATATAAAGGACTCTCAAGCTATGAAAGCACTCATATTGTAGAGGTCTTTAGAAAACGTTTTTTCAGAATACAGACTGCAAAGACAATCTGTCAGTGCTGTCAGTTAAAAGCTGAGCCTGTGAACTCGACCGAATTTAAGCAAATTTTGGCCGGTCGAGGATAGTTTAAAGGTCCCGTCGGAAACTTCCAAAATACCTCCTTTATTTACCTGTAATTTTACGGGATCCACAATATAGAGTAGTTTACAAATCACGACTGCCAATGCGACGAGTGGCAAAAGGATGAGCAGAAAAACCGCATTGCCGAACGATCTCAGACCTTTGCACAAAATTAGGAATACGACAACCCAAATAATGGTCAAATTGAAGGCCAACTACAATTTAAGTTAAAATAAATTGATTAGATAAGACTAAAAGACCGAACGAAATTTCATCCGCATCACTCACCCGATTACTCACACGAAATCGTATATTACCACCATCCGCTGGATTCAGAAGGTGCAAGCGCTGCAGCACAACAATATTAAAATAATCAGTAATGCTTTCTGTTACATTCGCAGAGCCATTTGTGCCGCGTCGATAGGGGTTAATCATTTCCTGCCACATGTAACCGTCCTGTCCTTTGTGTGGAAATGTGTCACGCAGATAGATTACCACCCAAGCCACCGCGACGGTCGAGTAAATAGCAATGAAACATTGCACCAACACCAAAGCAATACCGATGCCACGACATATAGGACTGATCTTCCACATTGACACCGGGCCAGCCTTGATTCTTGAGCCCAAACACATGTGCAACAAGAAAAGCGGTATGCCAAAAAGAATGGAGAGCAAAAAAAATTGCAAAACAAAATTGCCACCATACTCAATGGTCAGCACCGCAAAGCGTGACACATTAAAAAGACCCACAGTGCAGCAGAGGAGTGCGAAGGCGCGACTGCACATATGTGGCCACTCCTTATCGCTGCCCTGCGCGCTTGCGTGTGTAGTGTTGTTATGCTCCGCACCCGTTTGATCGTAATGACCGTTTGTGACAAGTGTCATAGCCGCCGTGTGACCACCATTGGTTGAGGGCGATGTCGATGCAGAGTCTGTGCTGGATACGATGGTGATGGGACTGGAATTACGCGACGTATGCGCTGAACTCACATCCGAACCCACCAAGAAGTTCGTGTGACGCTCCTCGGCGGCGTGTGTGGCGTTACGCGCTTGACGCGTCGCTGTGGTAATTGCAGGCGCGCTCTGTGGCCGTTGGTTATTGCCTCTCGAGCCGAAGCTGTGATTACCCTCTAGTATGTCGGGTCGTACAGAAAGTACAGGCGGTTGACCTGCTGCACGTCGCCCAAATTGTCGCGGTCTATTCACCAAAGTGCTGCTGGTGTTATCGTTTTGTAGTAATAAATTATTAAATATATCTTCTTGTGTTAGCATTTCAGTGCGGCTGTTGGTACTAGTGGTGCTCAGACGATTCTGTGAGTGGCAACGTCTGAGCTCGGGTCGCAAAGGCAAAGTCTCTGCTGCTGCTATTGCATTCGTTGCTGGCGTCTCGTCGTTTTGTGCGCTAATACTGTGATGTTCTGTGAAATCGGTATGACGCGTAGCGGCCAAGTCATCATTACCAGCTAAAGCTTGATCGTCGTGACGTGCGTCGAATGTTGCCTCCCTCCAAGGTGGTGGATCTGTTGGCTGCAAATTTGTGCACGCATTGTTATTCTCAGTTATGAAGAGTTCATTGAAAGCCTCCTCGCTGGACAGGCGTGTAACTTCACGCGGTGTGCGCTCTAAATGCTCCATAAGATCTGAAAGTAGAGTTATAGTTTCTGATTTAAATACATGTATAAATTACTGAGAAATTATACTTTAACCTACCCTCGTACAACTTTTCCTTCGGTGAGGTAATTGTGCGTCTCAGCAGCTGACCGCGTTCAATGCTGCCACCTGCAGCGCTTGCTTCCTCATTCTGCTCCCGCTCAGCATTCAGTTGTGCACTCTTTTTACGACTCATAGGCAATGAACGATTCCGCTGTCGGGTATGTATACGTTTCGGGCTTGGTGTACGCGCCAACTCCGTCGAACTCTTATCTTCATCATCATTATTACTAAAACTATAATCGTCCATCTCTTCTAGATAATTATCTAAATCCAATAAACAGTCTTCGACTTTGGTCTCCAATGAATTGGTCGCGGTTAGCTGCGTCGCACCATGTATATCTAAGATCGTGTCGAGCTCATTGAGCACACGTGTCGCATCGTCGGGCGTATAGTCGCTCATATCTGTTGAACGCATGGATTCGTTTTCAAGATCGCTACCATCCCACGATGAATCAGTCGGTGTGCGCTCGTGTGGGAAAATATCCTCACGTCTTATATCTTGCAACTGCTCCATCTCCATCGAGACCGTTGTGTCGTTGCTATTACTTATTTGTGGAAAAATATCCAAACTACTAATTTGAAAGCTATGCTTTGTGCTTCCTAAGCTACCCTCATCTAAATCTATTGCAGCATTATCATAGTTAAGCGTATTTAAGCGGGATAAACTTCTTGCTGCCTTCACGTCTCTCAGTTGGGCGCTCTCATTCCCCAAAGCATGCATACGCTCTGCATCAGTCTCCGCTACAGCGCAGTTCTTGGCCGAAGAGAAACGTCGTGGAAGACTAGAAAATGGTCGGGATCGATGGGAAGCTCGTGACTTTTCGCCATCTGTTAGACGATCACGTTCTTCTGTTGTTGTGCTGTTGCCAGCATTACTTGTTTTGAACATAACTTTCTCTTTGTTATAGTTGTATGCTATTTTACCGCCAACACTACCTTCGAATGCTATTCAAACTGCAAATGTGAAAGAAGAAAAAAGCGAAATTAGGAAACATGTCAGTGCAATTGCGCCAAAGCCTGTGTAAATTTATTTATCAAGTACACACACATATATACACTCCATATAAATATGTAAATATTGCAGTTAAATAGTCTGTGCAAATACGCTGCCGATGGCTTGCAATATTGCACTGCAGTTCAGCTCATATTTCATGTTTGAGTGAGTCTTTCCGCGTCGCTTGACTGCCTCACTGACGCGCTGTCTTATCGGCTGTTAGCGCCGCGCTTGCCACATAACTGGCGGATATCTTATTCAGGTGTTAAATGTGTGTTGTTGCTAAAAGCAGTGGTCTTGTGAAATTTCTGTAGAATATGAAAATTCGATAGCCGTTTTAGATTTCAAGCCCAGAGGCCTCCTATGACGGCAATGACCCACATTGTTTTGGTTTTTTTATGTGCAACTATATTACTCACTCTATTAGCGCCAGGTCGCGCTTTGAGCAGGTGTCTTTTAAGTTGTTGAATAGAACACTTAAATACGAAGGTTTACTGGTGTGAAATAAGTACAGGCTTCCTGTAGATTCATTATTAATATCCGTTTGGAAAATTGCGCAAAACTTGTTTGGCTCCGTTTTTGTGAAAATGCTTCATAACACCGAAGAAAAATTCTACAAGAGCTAGTCTTTCTAGTTCTTCCTCTTTAATAAACATTAGACTGGCTGTAACGGCTGGTTTATATACAACTTCGACCTTAAAAACTTTTTATGTGCGTACGTACTCAAAAAAATTCTTACCTCGTACTTATCTGTCAAAGCAAATCGAAGCGAACGTTATCATAAGAATTTCTAAACGGTAATATGCTTTACTACATATCATTTAATAATAAAACAAAATAAAAATTAGTTTAGATTATATACAATTATAAATCTTAAACAAGGCATCAATCTTATGCCATAATCTTACTGAAATTTAAGGTTAGTTTAAGCACTTCGTTAACGCATCATTCTCGATGAGTATGATAAATGGACATGAGTTAGAACTCAAAACGGCATAACCCATAGATAACTCTTGAACTCGTTTGATGCCAACGTGATGAGTTTAAGAAATAGACGCATGCGTAAGCTCAGTTAAGCTCTCGATAAGTCTGTCTTAACAAGTTTTATTTTTAACTCAGCGCTTATCAGCTTGCTTTCATTTGTTTACTTGCTATATTTGCTTCCATTCAAGATTACTTGTTCGAGATTAGGAAATACCTTATTTTCGATTTCAGACACATTTAATTTGCATGATTATCGGCGGAAGGAAGTAGGCTACAGTGTCACAGAGTGTTTTTACAAAAGTGAAACGTTAACGCAATTTGTCGGATGAGACCTAATAACTAATTCGGATTATAGTCTACAATAAGGAGAAGACAACAGACGCGTGTAAATTATTAATGTTTTAGCATGTTTCAGAATTAAGAATTTCTTTCGATAGAGTGACGAGAGAAAATTTTTCGTAGAAAATTATTTATAAAAAAGTGTTTGAAAAAAAACATGTAGAATAAATTTTTTTTGTTTATTTTTACAAAACTTTGTGCAAAGTTTTGGAAAAAAATATTTTTAGGGATAACAAAACCTTAACACGCGAATTAATTTTGTTTTAATAATATCATATATTTTATTTTTGCAAAAGTATTTGAAAAAAAAAATACTTATAGAATTAAATTCTTTTTTAGAAATGTATTTTTTTAGTAATAGGTAGGTAGGTAAAGTGGCTGTCATTCGACACACTTAGGCCTTTAGGAGGCCCATTGTGATACCACTGATACTGTGATATCCTCACTCTATTGGCTCCTCTCTGAACCACCCCGTACTTCTGATGAACTTCATCAGTTTTTTAGTAATAACATAGATTTTATTTATATAAAATATTTTTGTAAAAAAATATATAAATTTGAGAAAATTTATTTAATTTGTTTTTTTAATACAAATTTGGGATAATTTTTTTCGAACCGAAAAAATAAATTTACTTTTTGTCTAAGTACCTTTCGCTCTCCCTTTGCTTATATATTTTTATACAAAGTTTTTAAATACTATTTTTTTAGGGAACATAAAAATTAAGTCTTAGACCTTCTAGGACCCACTTATATTATATTGTAAGCACTTAAAATTGACATTATAGTCAAGATTAATAAATATTCGTATATTCGCAAACATACAAACATGTGTGGTATAAGCATACAACTGTGTCTTATACACTCGCTCATTTGCATTTAAATGACACGGAGAGGTCAAATAATTTAGTGATCGAAAAGAATTAGCGGTACATTGCGGAAAATCGTGTGCAGCTAATACAAATACAAACAAATATTTGTACATGCCCATAAATATATCTGCTGCAACTTAACATAAACAATGAAAGTTGTGCGAAATGAGCAACAACAAAAATGGCAATAAGCTAATAAACATTTTTAGCACAAATATAGTAATAATGTGAACTGTAGCAAACAAGTGAATGGAAAAATAAAAAAACAAAAATCAAACAAGAAATTGTTTATCTGCTTAGGTATGTACATATGTATGTATTGTACATTTTTGTAATAAAAATACATGTGGCAAATGTGATCTTGTTTTTGTAAAATAGAATATTTTATTTACTCATATTATTTTTAAATCTTTATTTACTTTACTTACAACTTTTTTTTTTATTTTATATCTTTTTTATAGTTTTTTTTTTGGAATTTTTTATTTTTATATTTTTATTTTTATACCCTAAACAGAGTATAATAAGTTTGCCACGAAGTTTGTAGTAACAGAAAAAAAAACGTCGGAGACTTTTTAAAGTATACGAGGTGTGTTCAAAGAAATAGGTGAATTGTGAATTTTTTTTTTTTAAATGTACTTTTTTATTTATTCATCAATGTCTATTTTGTGTCAACGCTTTTTCCAATCCTCGAAGAACTTCTGAAATGCGTTTTTCTGTATGGCCATTAGCTCTTTCTTCGATTCTGACTTGATCTCATCAATTGTGACAAAACGCTTTCTTTTATTGGTTTTTATAGTTTTGGGAATAGAAAAAGTCGCAAGGAGCCAAATCTGGTGAATATGGTGGTTGAGGCATGATTGCGGTTTGGTTTTTGGCCAAAAATCACGAAAAAGCATTAATGTGTGAGCTGGTGCATTATCGTGATGCAGAATTCACGATTTGTTTTTTCACAATTCTGATCGTTGGAGCCGTATTGCTAGAAACAAACGTTGCATAACTTCTTTGTAGTATTCCTTATTAGCTGTACAACCTTTTGGCATCAAAGCCGTTGTAATCAAAGAAAACAGTCAGCAAAACCTTTATATTTGATCGAACTTGGCGTGCCTTTTTCGGTCTTAGCTCATCTGGCAGTTTCCATTGGGATGATTGGGTATTGGTTTCGACGTCATAACCATATACCCACGTTTCGTCAACAGTTATGACCCGTTTTAGCAAACCCGGATCGTTGTTGACGTCATTCAACAACTCCAAAGCGATACATTGCTCAAATTTTAGCAATTTCGGAACAAACTTCGCTGCTACACGTTTCATGCCCAAACCTTCCTGGAAATCGAATGGCATGAGCCGATTGATATGCCAACTCTCTCTCTCTCTCCTCTGCAACTTCCCTAATAGTGATCGACGAATTCAAGAACAATTCTTTTTACTGTTTCGATGTTTTCTTCGCTTGTTGACGTGGTCGCACCTCAGGATGCTCATCGTCAGCAACATCTTCTCGGCCGTCTGTAAAGCGCTTGAACCAGTTATAAATACGTTTTGGAGACAAAGTGAACTCACCGAATGCCACAGTCAACATTTCTAGTGCGGAGGAGCACTTTTTACATTTTTAACGCAATATTTAATACATATGTATTATTTAATCCATTTTTTTCAAAAGTCGAAAATCGAAGAGCACACAAAAACGTGACAAATCTTTTCTGTTGTCAAAAACAAACTACTAATCGAAATTGGCTCCTAATACAAGCACATGATAAACGTATGTGTCCGATTATAACAAAAACCAAATATCGATTATCAAATGTACAGCCCGCGAAAAATCAAAATTCACCTTTACCTTTGAACCCACCTCGTATATGTATGTAGGTATATTCTAACTGATCAGCATGACGAGCATGATGATTTTTGCAAACATACTTTTTTCGCCAAAAAGCTGCTCATTTGTCGGAACTACCGATATCGGGTCGCTATAGGTTATAAATGGCTGTTATGCAAACTGACGGATCAAAATCAAATTCTTGTATGGAAAACTTTTTTATTTATCAAGATACCTTCACAAAATTTAGCATGAATTATTTTCCAAGATAACGGTAAAATCTATGAACAAATTGTTCAGATCGAACAGCTATAGCATGTAGCTGTCCTACAAAACCGACCGATCAAAATCAAGTTAAAGATCTTTTTTACGCTTTTATGTTATAAAAAATGCAGCTGTGTAGGGTATTATAGCTTAGGTGCAGCCGAAGTAACGTTTTTCTTGTTTACAATTTTTTTTATAATTTTTTTTTGCAGTAAAAATATTGTATTACACTAGGCACTAGGAGGTAGTCATTTGAGTTTGATGAATTAAAAATATTTACAAAACTCAAGTATGAATGAAAAGCTTATATAAATGTACCTTCATATAAATGTATGTACATATAAATTTATGTATGTATGTACACTCATTCACGATTTTCTTCATATGTATTGGCTATAGCCTTAATGAATGCTACATAGTTTCCTTTACGCTAAACTATTCTACTTATGTACACTTTAAACGCAATAAGCAACGTTTTTAATTAGCTATACCATTTTACGATTGCACAAGTTGTACTTCGAAAAAGAAGCAAAACAACAATAACAACAAACACAACACAAATTGAAAAAATAATGAGTGTAACACGGAAATTCGAGTTATTTACTGAAGCGTGATCCACGTTGCTTGTAATTATTATTATCATTGTTGTTGTTGCTGTTGGTCTCTGGTGGTGTTATTGGGTTTTCGAGCGAGTATTTTAAGGGGGGCGTCTACCACAACCATACATGTGCACAAAATATGTATGTACGAGTATGTATGACGATGGGTAATAATTTTTATGCGTTCAACACTTTGGAAGCGCACAATATGAAAATAAATACACTTTACACGTTCACTTATCTATCACTGGCATATGTAGATACTTACATACAAACACTCATATTTACAAATTTTCATACGTGCACAACACACTACCCAATGATTGCCATAAAATGTTTAAGAAATAATAAAAATAAAATTAAATTAAAAACTTCTCAAACACTCACGGCACTGAACTAGTTCAAACAAAAAACAAAAATAGCATAAACAATAACAACAAAATAACTGTTTAATTTTTAATTTTATTTTTATTTTTTGTTAATAAACAGTTAAGCATTTTAGCTGTTTACATTCAAATTGTTGAATACCGATTTGCTCTAAGAACGCTTGAAAAGTTGAAAACTTGCTTGGAGCCGAGCGCTGACTATAATAACAACTAAGCTGGGCAGCGTTTGGTGGCCGTCAACGTCGCAAGTTTGCCAGACTACCAATACGCGGTGATCTCGTAGTGAATATGAGCGCTATTTCGTCGTGATATTAGTGCGCGGCAGGCACACTAACAAAGTAAAGTCACACACATCCATATGTACCTATATATCCATAAGCGTGTTTACAGGCGTAACGTGAAACGTAAGCAACGTAAGTAACGTAAGCGCTACCATACTCTCTTCAATATATATGTGTGTGTGTGTGTTGAAGCGCGCGTTAGTTGGGTTTTTTACACGTGTATGCGCGCAGCAATTGCCTGTGTGTGCTGTATGTGTAAATGTGTGTGTGAAGAAACCAGTCTTCGCTTGGCATTGTTGCAGAACTACAAATATGAATCGCATGAATTGCAGGTAATATCAAGAAAAGTTCACCCTTCTCACTGCTGCCAGCCGCACGTTTGCAGGCGAAGCGAGCGAGTAGTAAACGCTTGCAAGTTCTTAGACAGTAGGCGTTTAGCGCGCGCGCACAGTGAGCGCTAAACTGCACATGAATACTTAATAAATAATGTTATGCGGATTTGATGAGCTCGCGTTGACATTTACTTGACTCATCTCTCCACTTTGAATCGTGTTTCGAATGGCGTGCGGCGAAAAACCTCCGGTTTGCTGTGTGGTTGCTACTGATTAGGCTCGCACATAACGCATTCACATACAGAAAATGTTAGTTTAACCGGTTTCAAGTTGCTAATTTCCGCTTTTTGCGAACTCGTAAGTTTGATTAGACCTTCATTAGAGGCAAGCGAGGTCTTTCGCGTAAGAGCGTTGCTTGGTATACTCTTTCTGCTTCATGACCCTACACAATTTTGATTCTTACGGACAAACTGACGTCAATAAAACGCAACGAAACGATAAATATAAGGGGTGTGGCATGAAAGAACATACGTTTTAGACAGAGTAATTTTTCACGGAGGCATCATTTTCAATTAAAAGATGTTTGTTGTAGTCGGTGTTTCAGAATATGAATAGATTATTGCAAAATTAAGCGCTTTTGAAGCATGTCATGGACTGAGGCTGGAACGCTACCTCACAAGCGCTCGACACAGACACTTGCCAAAGTTCCATGGACTAAGCACTTATATTTCACGATTGTGATATCCGTCCGTTAGCAAGAATTGAGCCTTTTGTAGGCCGATTGAGGTGATTATAAAGATGAATACTAAAATCACAATAACTTAATGTCTGCTATGGACATTGGAGAAGTTGCAAACTACAAAGCCTTATATTAATTACAACGCCCGATATCTACGTAATGGCATTAAGCTCAGCAGCCTTATAAGTAGTCAAATTATCATCAATAGAGGGATGAGATGACGGCTTATTTCGTTTCGACGACAGTCGTTTCAACGTAACCGACACAAACCCGGATTTTTAACCGACCGTGAAAAGTCAATTCGGCAGCACTGCTAACAACAATAACCACCCTCCCTGATCAGCATAGCAATGACGTCGAAACTGTCCAACAATATAACGTATGGCGCTCCATAAATTAAACGAAACCGAAAAAGCCTCGCTGAGGGCACTGAAGACCATACCAGCCGAGGCTTATATCAAGTGTATGAAAAATTGAATTAAGTGTTGGCGAACTTGTATGGGCTGAAAAAAAACTTTTTTTGAAGGCGATAATAAAGATTTGTAATATGTGAAAATGTAGTTTTTGTTTGTCGATTTGGATCAGATGGATTCAAGTGTTCTTTTTCTTCAAATGTTATTTTATAGGGGTAATATGCCAGCAAAAGAACAAAAACAAACAATTGCGAACTGCATCAAACGCTTTGAAGAGGGTGGATATATATTATAAACCAAACCTGATTTACCTAAGCAACCAACTGCAAAGCTCAAAAGTGGGGAGAAAAAGTTTCACCGTCAACAGTTATGGGCGCGGTTGAATAACGACAAGCCGCCGTACAATTTTGTGAGTCACTTTAGCACCTTTTTCTAAGTTGAATGTGTGTGCCATCGCGTTTACATACACAAACATATGAATACACATACATATGTATATATTTTAAATGCATGTGTGCAGACGGTTATTGTTGCTGCAAGCGCAGTGTGCAACATAAATGTCATACAGAATACATGTGCGGCTAATGGCCTGGCAGGCAGGCAAGCAGGCAAGCAGACAGACGGGACAGACAAAGAGTCAAATAGACAGCGAAACAGAGTTCAGTGAAACGCATTTAGATAAAAAAGAAACATATGCTTACAAAATACGTACACATGCAAGTAAATCCGAGCACACATACATAGCTACATGCATACACACATATATATTATGCATGTGTGTGTGTGTGTACTTATTGCATGAGAAAGGAACTTATAAGCGCAAAGGAAAGAGATAAGAACAAGAGCGGTAAAATGTTGGTATGCCCATACATACATATGCATATACCTGAACATATGCATATGTATATGTTCTGAGTTATTTAATTCCGTGATTTCGAAAATTGAAGGGTTTCGTACCTTTCGGGATTTCTCATTCTTGCTTTCTTTTAGGTAGTAAAGGCACATATACATAACTGCAAACTGGAAATAATATATGTAGCTTACTTACAACTAAATTACTATTTTCGGGATCTCGAAGGTAGAAACCCGAAATTTGTGCCTACAAAAATTCACAAAATAAAACACTTCGGCAATATTTAGCTAGAAAAGCGCTGTTAGATTTGCAAAAGCAATAAATTACTTACTAAGCTCGCGCTTCTAACAAAAAAGTTGTGTACTTAAGTAAGCTTAGTGTAGAAAATTCTAACATATTTACAATAGAATATATCAAATACTAATCTTCTAATGTCAGCACTATGTAATGTAGAAAATTTCACATATTTAAAGCGCGACTAAATAAACTTATACGTTTTTCGCAAAAATCTATTTACTATCTTATTGTGTATCTGCTAATAAGTTTATCATAAAATAAATAGTGAACCATGAGAATGTGTGGATGCCGCAGGAATAATCTAGTTTTCACGTTGCTAAAGCATCACGAGTTCTCCATGGCAGCTTTGGGTTTGGATTTTTAGACTTTTTGAAGCACGTACACATGTTGTGCCGGGATCCCGAAGGTATTTACTTGTATAATCATCAGCTTGCCATAATTTTTATATTGCCGGCAGTTGTCATTAGCTGTATGAGTGAGTATGCACAAATATTGTTTTTCTAATATACTTGGTAATAACGACTTTCTGGGATTACGAGGGTCTAAACAAGATTTCGGGACTTACAAGCCGGCAAGTTCGCGCCAACTATTACAGTGTGTGCAAATACGTCTACTAAGGAATAAGCTGCGTATTTTCGGGATCACGCTAACGTTGCTGGAGCATAACATAAGCTGGAGAATTGTGGGATACCGAGCACTTAACCACGTAGTTACGTCCTTAAAAATTGCAAATTAATTTTTAAGCTTTTTTCAAGCTGTTGTAATACTTACAACAAAGCGTTTATAACACAATATTATTTCGGGATCCCGAAACTCAATCCCGTTTTTACGGGATTATTGCATTTATATATTTTTATTTGTCCATAACGTGTGCCGTTAATATTACAGTAGTTTACTATTAAAAGTAACAGTAAATCAGTAAAATACACAGTAAAATATATTATGTGATACATATGTATATAGTATATACTACATAGGCATTAACGAGATACCGTACTTGGGTAAATACGTCCATATATACATATGTATGTATGTAGATATTAAGTTAGTATATTTGTGCGAATATGAGATGGCTGCGTATCATATCAATATTTTTTCCTGCACATTTCACTTCGTAACACTACACGCTCATTCCTTCTCATAGCTTCATTTCATTTGATGCATTTTGATTTGATTTGATTTGATTTCACTCAGCGCATTGAGCATTTCACTAAGATCACTTACGGCTTGAAAATGCATATTTTTTGATATGCTAAGGCACATGTATATATATATACGTAAGTATATACATATATGTATGTACATATATTTATGCAGTCACCACGTTGTTTATTTATTTTTCAGTCTTTTTTTGCAGCTACTAGTTTCTTAATTTAGTATAATTGTTTTAATTTTTTTCCCAATATCATTTACATTTTTTTACAAAATAACATTTCACAATTTCATTACCACACTTGAGCATTGACTTTTAGGCGAACTTAGTCACTGACCGTCAGCACGTTACTTAAGCGCTTTGCTGTGCTCGCCAAACACCTGGCTTAGTGGCATATTTAGCAAAGACTTGTTCGAGCAATTTTTTCATGTACACACGCACACATACACACATACATATATGTATGTATATACTTATGATATGCATTTGAATGTTGTACGTTTGTATGTATGTGTGTATTTTTGTGCATTATAAAGTGGTTACTGCCTATTTGGAGACAACACGTTGGTTACTATAGCAATTGGTGTGTCGGCACACAACGAAAACATTGCCAACAACCAATTAATTGAGACAAGTGGGGTTTGGGGGTGTATGTACTCATACATATGTATGTATATATGTATAATTAACGTGTCATATACTTGTTCAAATATGCTAAGCTATTAGTGGCATATATAGTGTTATTTACTGCATTTACAAAATTTGAATTTGTATGTATTCAGGAACTTGTGCTTATTTCTAAAAATACAATACGACACCAAATGCAACATTCAATAAAAAACAACAACAACAGCAACATTGTCGTAATATTTTATGCACATTTTTAATTTGACGAAATTTACACTCTTGAACCCAATTAAATGTACTTAAGCGCTAGACTGCGAAATTCAAATGTTACAATTGCAAAAATCAAAAAAAAAATAAAACAATTACAAAAACTTCAGCTGCACTGAAGCTATAATACCCTACACAGGTGCATTTTTTATAGCATTAAAGGGTATAATGAGAGCTTTAACTTGATTTTGATCGTTTAATTTGTATGATATCTATATGCTATATTGGTCCGATCTGACCAATTCGTACGGAGATTATACAATTGCCTTCAATAATATTCCATGCCGAATTTCGTGAAGATATCACGTCAAACAATTTTGATTGTTCAGTTTGTATGACAGCTATATGCTATAGTTGTCCGATATCGGCGTTTCCGACAAATAACCAGCTTCTTATAGAGAAAGGGAAGCGTGCAAAGTTTCAGTTCGATATCTCAAAAACTGAGAGCCAAACATGGCTAAATTGACTCAGCTCGTCACGCTAATTATTTATATATACATACATATAATTTATAGGGTCTCCGACGTTTCTATTTGAGCATTACAAACTTCTTGGCAAACTTAATATATCCTGTTCAGGGTATAACAATAACAACAAACAATAGAATGCCAACAATATCGCTAAGCTACACACAACTTTTGCTGTTCATCAATAACGAATTTTTATTAAATTAAATGCTTTGGCGAACATTATACGAAATGTAAAGCCATCCACACAAATACACACACAACTGTATGTGCCACTATTTTTAGTTGGAAAGTCAATTAGATTTGCAATTTAAAATTATCAAGTATAATTTAATAATGTGGTTTTTTCGCTGATAATTTTTCACTTGAAAGTATAAAGGGTTGCACATTTGGGATTTTTGGAAATTACCTAAATGTTTTTAGCAACCTTTTAATAAAATGTGTAAATATAAATTTGTTTATGTCGATATTTCATATTCAATATTTCAACATTTAAGCAACCCTCTACGAATTATTTCCCCCCTGGAAGCCTTTGAAACAAATCTCAAACACTTTCAACACTTTTTAGTTGGTAAATCAGCGGAATTTTACAATAGCTGTTTTGAAATTCTCCCAAGTGATTGGAAGCCACAATTTTTAAAAATATCCACTTCTAAATCAGATTCTTATTCATTTTGTCTAATTGAATCATACTTGGCCGTCACGTATTTGATCCTGTTGAAGAAGTATGTCACAATAAGTCCGTCCGATTAAACTGAGCTCTGAAAGAGAAAGTCTTTCCGATTATAATAGACCTTCTAAAGCGCGATTACAGTTTACGATCAGCATAAAAAATAACAGCATTTCTGTCTAGTGTTCGCCTTTTGGTAGGCAATGGAAAACATACGCCATGTAATGAAAAAAACTTTTCATAGGATCCATAAACTGATGGGAGTTCCATGCATTTTTTGGAACCTTTTTTAGCAACTTTATCTTTTCCAACTGGCACCAAACTTCTTCCGGGTCTTGGACATGTTTTTTTTGCCTACAAGTTTCTGACCAAATTTTTTTCTATGTGTTTGTTTCTATGAGCGATACTATATCCTGAGTATCACCGAATATTCTGATATCATAAAGCACTTGTCCTTCATTTGCTAGAATCTCAATGCAGAAAAGACCCCACTGCAATGTGTAAAAATTTTATAACGGAATAAGTTCTTCCTAAAACTATATTGATACGTTGAACAGGTTGGTTGAAAAGTTTCTGCGCTCGAAATGAACAAATACTGTTTTTGGTACGAAAAATATTTTTTTATTCAATATAATCTCCCTTTACTTCAATGCACTTATTCCAATGGTTCTAAAATAATTTTATGCCATCCCTATAATGACTTTCCGCAAGCTCTGCAAGATACCCGTCCACGGCTGTAATAGCTTCTTCATTCGATGAAACACGCTTTCCACGAAGGAATTGGTTCAGGTTTCGGAAGATGTAGTAGTCGCTGGAAGCCAAATCTGGTGAATGCGGTGAATCCTCAAGCAATTCGTACTTTAATTCGTTGAACTTTGTCATTGTTAAAACACATTTGTGAGCAGGTACATTGTCTTGATGGAAAATGATTTTTTTGTGCTACAAACTAGGCTCACGAATTTATTCATGCAGCTGATTCAAAAGGCTGCAATAATATTCAGAGTAGATTATTTTACCTTTCTGCAGATAATCAATCAACAAAATTCCTTTTACATCCCAAAAAACTGATGCCATAACGTTCTCTGCTGATCGTTGTGACTTCACCTGCTTTGGAGCTGAACAACCAGCTTCAGTCCATTGTAAACGTTCTTATTTCAATTTAGGATTATGGTGGTAGATCAAAGTCTCATACATAGTTATAAAACGACGCAAGAAATCGGTTTATTCTGCTTAAAACACTCCAAATTATGCTGAGGAAATTTTTTCCCATCTAGTTTTTGTTGAATTGTTAACGTCTGCGACAATAACTTTCCAAACAGCTTTTTCATATGTAATTTTCCATGTAAAATATGAAATACTCATTCTTCTGAGATGCCTATAGCATTAGCAATTTCACGCTTAGTCATAACAATATTATGAAATTGCTCAATGATTTCTGGTGTGGTTGCGGTTTTTGGTCGTCCTTCTCGTGTATTGTCTTCAAGCCTAGTACGACCCCGTTTAAATTCACCAGCCCAAAATTCAACGGTGCCTTTTGAAGTAAGGACTTCTTATACACTTTCACACAACAATTGTTCATGAATTTCCTTTGCTTTTAAACCTTTCAAAACAAAGAATCTAATCACTGCGCAATATTAATTTTTTTTCCATATTAAAGAGAATCTCTGACACGTCAACTTCAAATGGCTTGTAAACAAAGAATTAATTGACAGTACGACTTGTAACTTTGCGTGTGTTCTCACAACAGATATACCAACGTGAGAAATCATAATTTGGAGCCAGTAGTGCTATTTCTTGTTGAGCACTACTCACTTTTCAACCAACATGTATGGCAAGCTGATGCGGCGAGCTGAGTTTATTTAGCCATGTCCGTCTGTCTGTGAAATTTTGCACACACGTTCTTTTCTCCGCAAGAAGTTGCTCATATGTCAGATTCACCAATATCGGATCACTATAGCATATAACTGTCATAAAAACTGACCCATCGATAAGATATCTTCATGAAGTTTGGCATGGATTATTATTCAAGACAACGCTATAATTTGGACAACAGGGATATTATAGTTTCGGTGCAGCCGAAGTTAACGTTTTTACCTGTATAAATCTCAATTTTATTAATTGATTTGATAGAGTATGGAACTAATACAATAGCTTCTTGCTAAACCGTTAAGAGAGATCGATAGAAAGGGTATGCTGAATATTTATACAGTATAGACTAGCAGAGAATATATTTCAAGCTCTCTAGTGTAAACTTAGTGAATAGTACAGAGTTCTATACGAAGCTGTTACGAATGTCGGAGTGGATCCGGATTTTTACACGTCCAAGGATTATCAACTCGATGACATTTCGTACAATTTGCAAAGAAATAATTTTTGTTGTTACGCTAAGTCTGCATTGAGTGATGGTGGTTCTAGAAGTGGCCAAGCGGCCGATCATACAGGGAGCAACTTACTTGTGACGCCGACCTATTTTGAAAATGGATAATGCAACGAGTGCGCTCACAACATGCAAACATGCGTTTCAACATACATATAATCCAATGAAAGTAGGCAGCTACGAATTGCATGTGTACATACAAACATTTATATGTATGTATGTATTTATGTATTTGCGTATTCGTATGCACTGAGTAAATTGCAACTATCGTCGCTATCACCCTGCTACTTAAAATACATACATATATGCTTATTGAATTCATACATATTTATATGAGTATATATATATATGTATGTACATATGCACATACATAAATTTATATGTAGATATGTATATCATTAGCCGCTTTCGATGCTCCGCTTGCACTGAAGATGTACTCATACAATATCACCAACACTACACAAACACATGGTCACACACACTCACACACACACAGCTGCATCACTTTCAGATACACCAGATACTCAGATACATGGTGGTTTATTAAGCAACCATTACCAAGAACATCTGAATGCCGAATTTCGAATTGTTTTGTCTTTTGCACGATTCTGGTTTCACTCCTACAACTCACTCACTTGCCCTTCTTTCATTACTAATTGGTATATTCAACGCTTTTATCTCTACTAGTACTTTAAATATTTTTATTAGCAGCTATTTGTTGCATAAAAAGAAAACAAGAATTTGCTCACTTTGTAAACTTTGGAGAAATTTGTGTACATAGCATATGTACTTATGTACATAAAAAATCTGTATGTATATATGCACGTTTGTATGTCTTATATATGTACTTGCACAGACACTGGACCGACCAACCGACCGACCGTCGTACCGATCTTTCGCGCTTATTTCACGAATATGTGCTCTGTTGGCGAGTGAAGATTCCAAACTGAAGCAACGCAAATGAACGTAAAGGCAAATAGTCGCCAAATAGAGATAACAAGAGACAAAACCAATTGCGGAGCACGATTGGGCTCTCCGACACAACTGGCATTTTCCCAAAGTTCTCTTCATTCACTGCATGTCATGTGCGCAGGTAAAATGCTTATGTGGTGTATGCTCTGCGTTTTCGTTAGCATGCGCATGTGATCGCTAGATTTCTAGATTTATATATACCCCACAAACGGCAGAGTGCAGATGCTCGTATTTTCAATATTTGTTCATGCTGTTATACTTGTAGTTCTTGTAACGGTTGTGTTGAGTTTAAATGTTGTTGTTGTTGTAGCGGCTGAATTCTGCCGAGTTGACAGTCCTTGGCCGGATAAAATCCGGGTCCATTCCGGTTACGTAGACCCGACTGTCGTGGGAACGGAGTTTAAATGTTGTCACGAAGGTCATCTAAGGTTACGGTCATGAAACAAGCTTTTTCGACAAGTTTGGGGTAAAGAGCTGTTAGAGGCATGATATTAAGAGACGCGCTGCGTTCAAGAAATATATTTAGAGTGTCGGGATCATATCCGTATATAACATACTACAGTAGCCTAAGTACAATTAACCGGGTTTAACTGGAGTTTCTCAAAAAATATCAAAACAAAAGAATAAAAAAGAAATTGACAAAATTTAAAGAAAATTTTCAATAAAAAAATAAAATAACATTAAATGAATTAAAAAATTGTTTTCAATACCCATGATTCCATTTTTGGTAAACAAAATTAAAAAAGATATATAATATAATTTTTATTTAAAAACAAAGGTATGTATATATAATTGTTTACTTTTTAAACAAATAAATCTGCCCGATCCAACACCGGTAAATGCTCAGTTCTCTCGCTTAGAATTCCTTTCTACAACTCAGAATTGTGAGAAGTTTTATCTAATGTTGCCTACATTCAGGCGCTTAACAATTTAAATCTAACAAATAATATAACAAATCTTTAAATAATTTATTTATTGCATAACCATTTTTATTTTCACATACAATAATACTACACTAAAAAAAAAACACAATATTTTGATAAATTACATTCGATATTCATGAAAACTGGTATCAATTTGACTTTTTAAAAGTCGAGAAACATAACAGTTAAAATACACAATTTGATTTTATTGCAAGGTAGATAGGTTTATCATACAAACAAAATGTTTAGTTTGTCGTTCAATGATAAGTAAAAAGCTACTAGTGTTTAACATTATCTATATATCGATATATATATATAGTATATATATAAGTATGTACCATATGTATATATTTGTAAAATCAATAATTATATTTACTTTACCATTCCAAACTAGCATAACATTTATATAAGTGTATGTGTATGTATGTACTAAAGCAAGTTTAATAGCAACTACCGTATAATAAATTAATATAACACATTTTGAGAGGAAATAAATAGTGAAGCATTTTCAGCTATTTACGATAGGTAAGTGCGTACAAAACCTTTAATATCGGCACGACACATGGGACACTGGCCAACGCCGGGTGCGCATTGCACGCATGTAACTGTAAATGAAAAAACAACAAAATTATAACAATTAATAACGCCTGCGAGTAGCTAAATGCAGCATACGCACCTAAATGTCCACACGGCAAAAACACTACACCGACTTCTTCATCCAGACACACTTTACATAGACGCGCATCCTTCAATTTACGATTTTCTTCTTCCAGCGATAATGTTCTATTAAGCGTTTGTTCGCTAGCTACTTTGTTTGTACACGCATCATCGATTTTATCTGCTTTAGCTGCTATTTCTGTGTTATCACCAGTGTTTTTTGTTTGCAAGGCATTGGTTACCGCCGCCGAACAACTCGGTCCATTCATCACATTACCATATATTTGATTTTGAACATTACTTGGATTCATCGTTGTCGTACTACTGCTAGCATTATTATGATTTTCAACACAATTACCACCCACACCGGCTTCATCTAGCATATTTATTAAACGTGAAACATCGCCCGCCAATGAAGCACTAATCCCTTCCGTACACTGGCCATTTGCAATTGGTTCAGCATCCTCCGGATCACCGAATACCGCTTTTATTAAATCTTCTACTGTTTCATAAGGTCGTCCACAAGCCATTAATTGCCGCTGTGTAGCATTTCGTATTGAGCCACCATCAATACCGATTTCGAGCGCTTGCAGTACGGGTGCTGTCATCATGGCTTCATCAATGGACATTTCGTTGTGTGGTTGATGACCGGATTGTCGCGTCAATTCCTGTACATGCTGTATGTAGTTCGCACCTTTAACGAGGCGCACGAATTGGCACTGAGGAAACCTACAGCAATTAAATTATATTGGCACTCATTAAGTGTTCTTAAGTATTTATTAAGTTAGTAACTACTCACCACTTTGCATGCTCAAACCAAGGATCATCTTCACGTTGCCACGAACGCAAACCTATATTACAATGAAAACAACGCACTTGATCCTCCACATTTTGATAGTAGAGACCGGCCTGGGCTAGCGCATCGGGTTTTTGTATATCAGGTATGGGCCAATTGACATATGTGCGAAGTCGTGAATCCAATGAGGAAAATTTTGGCTTTTTCGGTGTAGAAATTTGTTGTATGCCTAAATCACGCAGGCCATCGCTCGCCATTTCTATAAGTGGACCTAATTGCACGCGTGGACAGTTGGGAAAGAAACGTTTATGCTCCTCAAATGCATCGTCTTGCTCCTCCCACATAGCTATAATACCCTTGCACCATGCACATTTCACTTGATCCGAACGATTTAAATAGTAGAAACCTGCTTTGGCCAGTGATTGCGGTGAAATATTTGGATTCTATGTTGGAAGTGCAAAAACGTTAATTCGTTAGTTGAGAATATGTTGAAGTTGAAAATATATACATATTACAACAAACACTGCGCACTTCATTTGAAAAACAAACATACAAAGACGTATATATTGACACTAATGTGTAAACTAAATATAGTACACAAATTTGTATTTCAACACAAATAATACGCTTGTTTATTTATAAATATGTAGGCGAAGCTAAACACCAGACAGCTACTCACGGGCCAATTCTTAAATGTAGCCAAGCGATTTGACTCCACCAAATAATCACTTTCCTCTACAGATTCTTCCATTTTTAAGCCAAATAATAAATATTTTACTTTTCTAAACCTAAAATCAACTTTTCGGAGTAGTGATGTGGAATTCCTTTGTAGTAATGATGTACTTACTGTTGAATCAAATAACAACCGAGTACTTCTTTTACACAGCTAACAAACATATATATTTTTTATAAGTTTCTACTTAAGGTGTCAGATTTACTTTTAATTAATGCTATGTAAATAATAATTTGTAAATTTAATTCAATATTATATGTTCATCGAAAGAAGCATTAACACAAATAAACAAATAATCGGTTTAGTAGTAGTCGTTTCGCTTATAACACAAAATATTGATTCCGAAACAGTGTTGCTTTACTTTTGCGGAGATATTTCCCTTTTTATTTAAAATTCAATTACATACAGAATTAAATTGCGCTGTATAATTAAGTATATCATAATATTATTTGTTTTAAGTACATTTTGCAAAACGGTAATGTTAGATGGAAAAAACATAATAAGTTGCTTGTATACTCAAAATAATTATTGCGAGAAATTTTTTTCTGGCAGCACTATATCCGCCTGTTCAAATTTCGTAATTTCATCCAAAGAACATAAGCAGTGCATTCTCATTTGTATTTTAATAAATTAATTTTTTTTTTTTTATGAAAATTTTAACTTCAAAATAAGTGCTAAGTAAGTGGTAAATTGTGTTTTGTGGAGTTATTTATTTGGTATTTCATATACTTAATCGATTTACCTGCAAATGGTTCATGCGGAAGTGCCTGTGTGCAAGACGTCGCTGTAGTTGCTGAACAAAATTGTTTGATGCGATGTTGAGCTTAACGGCATTAAAGCTTGCAGAATTAAGGCATGCTTAAACGCATGGTAGAATTGTACAATAAAGGAAATTCCATAATTCAAGGCAGCCTAAAGAATTGGCAAAGGCGATCGGCAATCGTAAGCTCAATAAAGCTTTAGAATAGCAGAAGGGGCATTTATCGCTGCTGTATTCACGCTTGACTATGTCCTCGTTGGAGCGCGTACAGCTAGGTAAAACTTTTGGTCTATATTAATATAAAATAATACCTGATTTAATACCCTTTCCTATTGAGCATTGAGCGAGAAAATACAACCCATATTTAACTATTGTATATATTTAGATTTATATACATATGTAATTGCATAAGCATTTCCTTGTTCCTGCCCAACTGATTTATACGCATCTTTTTTAGGATCATTTTTTGTAGTAAAAGCAAAAACTAGCACAAACCACAATACATACGGTGTTTTAAAGCCGGTAAAACCGGCCATCATTGAGCCATCACTTGTTGAAATTTAATTTATTTATTACTCTTCTTCTTAATACAACCCGAGCGACAACAAATCAGCAAAATGAAGATGCACAGACTATATGCATATGTATATGTAAGTATGTGGGATTTAATTTAATATAACCGCGCACATACGCCTACAAACCTATACATTAGCATATATGTAGATATAAAAACCACCTGCAGAGTTAGGTCAACTAAAAAACAGGAATGGTTCGGTCGCGTTGATGAAATAGCAAACACTCATACATACATACATATGCACTTGCACATGTACGTTTATATGCATGCAACCCGATTAATCTCAACCTTGAAGAAAGTTTGTCTTTATAAACACATTTGTGTATCTTTATATGCTAATTTTAAAGCTAACGGGCATTGGTTTGGTATACGAATTTGAAAAATTGCACAACTTTTTCAATATTAATAAAGAAATATATAAATAAAATGAATGAATAAGTGCTACATACAAACACGCCTGCGAGTAAATGACAAAAGTTAGCTAAGTTTGTATTTTTTTCTGTACTAATCGCTAACATTGACTTACAAAATGCAAATATACTTAAGCTCGAGTCGAAATTAGGGACAAATGTTCATGTAGTTGTGTGTGCGTATGTTTGTTTGAAAGTTGTATCAACCAATTTCAAAAGTATTACAAACAAAAAAGTGTGCAATCTTCATCACCACTCCCAATGTTGGGTATATTGCTTTGTGCCTCGTATTTCTTATTCAAATTTGTTGTTATATACATTTTTTATCATATAATCCTAAAACAAATATAAATGCATGTGAATAAAAAATAATCCTGCGAATATATAAATAAAATTTTAGAATAGACTTGATATAATATATTGCATAACCTTTTTCTCTCACCTGGGTTCCAAAAATGTTGTTTGTTGTTGTTGTAAAATTCATCCAAATAATTCCTGAAGGCTGACGAGTTGACATTTCTTGCACAGATATAAAATCGATTACATAGATTCGATATTTGGTCGAACGGTTCCATATTTTAATGTCTGGCAGCTTAATATGGTTGTCCGAAAATAGTTAAGACGCGACTAATAAATCTTATAAATTTCAGGGAAATTCATTGGCTCAAATTACATAATGCTGGGCTGAAGTAAATTTCACTCATAAAATTTTGGGAACTCAACGCTCTTTTTCTCTCTTTCTTACACATTGTTTAGGAAATTCAGTCCAATTATATTGTTAATTGAAAATCTGTATACATCGTCTGTGAAGTCTAGCTTCGTCTAATTATGAAAATGAGCTGGATCTGAATGTTAGCGTCACACTGTGTGTTGAAAATATATCCCAAACTATAATGCTAGTTCAGCGACAGTCAATTTGTCAGTCGTGTGTATGAAATCGGAGCTGACCCGAATTTATTCTGTCAAGGATTGACAAGCCGGTAGCATTTTTCAAACATATTTAGGGTATATATGAATATTTTTTAAAACACGTTCATAATTCGTAAGCTGATTATTTGCATAAACTAACAACTAAATAAACTATTTTATACTAACTCTCCGCATTTAAGACAGAAAAAATTACTTAACCACTTGAGTTTGAACCTAAAACTTGTTATTTTATTAAAACATAAGGAGAATGTATACAAAAAAAAATATTTAAAGAAAACAGCAACAAAAATTAGTGCTAACATTTTGTAACCATTATTAACCGTAAATGAATTTTTTGTCATTTTCGTAAAAATTTCACCGTCGTCGTTAATGTACGGTAAATAGTTTTCGTTATAAAATGTTCAAAGGTAGAGTTTATTGAGTTGCTAACGGAAAATTGTTTATGTTTCGTTCTTAACATCAGCAAGTTAACGCTTATAACGGGTATAACTTGAGCAATTAAACTTGTGTTAAAAATGTGTGTGTGTGTGTGTGTGTGTGTGTATGTGCGACATTGCATAATATAATATTAATGTGTACCAATGAAAGTTTAAAGACAGAAAGGTGCTAAGTAGAAGCAGCAAGAGAAGAGGAAAAAAACACACAAATGTAGGTTAGCGTGGGGATACATCAAAGACGCGCAGCCAGTGAAGAAGCGCTTAATGGGAGTACACACATCGTAACCGCAAATTGCGGTAAGAAAATAGCAACCTGTCGACCGGGGAGCTTACGCACAGCAGCAATTGGTCACAAAGCAACAACAACAACAATAACACATACAAACAAATACTACCAAATCCAGATCCCGAAATCCGATTCATAGCTCTTTAGCTACTGACGAAACGGCAAACTGCTATACATATCCACCAAACATTTGGCATGGCCCTTGAATATCAAGATGCTGAGATGTGTGCGCCACTATAACTACCTACATATAATATGTAAACATACCATACACACTCTACATACATACATACGTCTGTATGTGTATACAAAGGTACGTAACAAGTCATACTTGACTATAAAAGCTTAAGAAGACTGCACGCAGAGGTTAGTCTGGAAACACGCGTCGCAGCCAAACGTACAAATCAATAATAAAAATAATAAAAAAGTGAATTTGTTGAAAAAAAGTTGTGTGTGAAAGTAGTAAAACGTTCGAAATTCAAAATGTTGAAATTTATTTTGGTTGCTTGTCTCTTAGTACAAATCGCCGTAGCTGCTCCAGTTGTAAGTGCCCACAAATATTTATTCAAAAATGCATACATTTATGTATATATGTATAGAAAATTATTTGTATAGGGTAAAAAATATTGTATGTAGTATGATAAAACGACAGAGGAGTACATCCTTATGACTCGCTGCGCTGCTTAAGTTCTGACACATTTTTGACGTTTTGTTGAGCGATCCATTTCGCATTTCTCATAGGGGCTGCATTTAGTGTTGCCACAGTAGGCGCCGGAGTTGCCGCTAGCTGCAATTATTTAATTAAATTATTTTTTTAATTTTAACTAATTAATACTATTTTGTAGGGAAAAAATTATGTTATGTATGTAAAGTTAGTTTTAGTTCCACTGTGCTTACGAAAATTTCCAATGGCTATGTGCATATAATTTTTTATTATCGAAGGCATAAACTTATCGTTAAAAACATTAAAACACTTAATTTTGCTAACTATTAGTTAGCTAGTACACTTAATGCTTTCAATTTAATACATTTTGTTTTGGAAAATATTAAAATTCACATTAGGCAGTATTTGTTAAGATGGCTCTTTTATCACAAGAAAACGTTTAAAATATTTTAATTTAAATTTATTAACAGCTTTCAAAGCTTTGCTTTCATTCGGTAGAATTTTCTTAATAATATTAAATATAAAAAATTGAGAAGGTTTTATGTTAATTTTTTTAATATGTGGGGATTAAAACAATTTTTTGGTACTAAAAATTATTTTTCGGTAAAAAATAATATTCAAAAATTTTTGGTAACACAAGTTATTTTTTATTAGAATATAAAATATCAATAAAATAAAATATTTTTTGGTAAAAAAATTGTATTTTATAAATGACATTAATTACTTTTCTTAAATTAAATTTATTAAAAAATGTTAGCTACGTTCAGTGTTATGGTAAAAAAAAATATTTGTAGTAAAAAAAATTGAAAAGAACGGAATAAAATATTTATTTTATCAATTTTATTTTTTATTAAAACTTTATTTAAAAAATTCATATATAAAAAAAAAATTTAAAAAACATAATTTTTGGTAAAAAATATGGCCAGAATTTTTTAAATTACATAAATTACGTTTCTTAAATTTAATTTATTAAAAACTTTTAAAAATGTTTGGTTAAAAATAATTATATTAAAAAAAAAAAATTTAGTTAAAAATAATTAAATAAAATTAAAAAAATTTTTAGTTAAAAATAATTAACAATATTTTTTGTTAAAAACTTTGGTAAAACAAAATTAAAATAACGGAATAAAAGATTTACTTATTACATTATTATTTTTTTTCCTTCCAATTTTGTATGTTCTCTCCAGTTTTAGTGGAGAAATTGCTAATTTTTAGTTTAAATAAATGAATTTAAATATTTAATTTTTTTAAAATTATTTTGAACTACGTTTTGCAATACCAAGCGCAGAAAATATCAAATTGTATAGATCAATAAATATTTATACAATAAAAAAAGATAATTAAAAAAAATTAAAAAAAAAGAAATTATTTGAAAGTTGACAAAAAAAAAGATAAATATCTGTTCAATGACTTTAATAGTTTTAAATCAGTTTTTAATTTTTTTTTTCTTTTTCTTACTCAAAATGATTTTATAGTTTTTGCAAATTTATTTTTAACAATTAAGCAAAGTAATATTTTAAAAAAATATTTTTCGCCAAAGAATTTTTTTATTTTATTTTCTCCTTTTTTGCTCGTACTAACAAACATATTTACATATGTATTTATATTTATTAGGCTTTTACTTACAATATTTGTCTCCACCCTTGTTGTTGCCGTTGCCCTGATCCAATTGATTGCGCTGTATGCACGAGCGCTCGTTGCACAAATTCGGGCAACATTTGCCGCCGATGGCACTACAGTCGGTGTCTTGCTTGCATTTTGGTGTGCAGCTCAAAACCTTCGTAGACGAGGGGCAACCTGCTAGACGAAAAAAGTTCGGGAAGTTTTTTTCAAAAGCTGCAACTTCAAAAAAAAGTACAAACAAAAACAAATTGCCACATACCTTGTGCATTGCTCATTACCACGAGCGCCAACAATAGCAGCACCAGCACTTTGAAAGTTGCACCGCCTGCCAGCAAAAACAACAAGAAAAGGGTGGAAAATTCATATTTACCAATTTTTTATGCAAATTTTTTCAATTTGACTGATTTTTTCGAAATCGAAAATTGCAATGTGTGTAAATGTATTTATGTGTGTGTGAATTGTAATTTACCAAAGAGACGGTAATTGCTGTTGTTAGTGTTAAATGCTGACGATCCGTTGTGGCGAAACATGTTCACTTCTACGCTATTAAATGAAAACTACCTTAAAAGCGACGCCGACACGACGTGTTTATATGTTTGTTTGTGCTCTGCAAACAGTTACGAATGTGACCAGCCTTCACCCCCCGCCAGCCCACAGTTAGCGTTTGAAGTTTCTTCTCTTTATTTTGTTAATAATAAATTACATACAAAGGTGCACACACAATCTACTATGTGTGCCGAGTATTACATAGGTATAAATGTGTATACATATGTACATATGCATTTGTGTACCGCTCTTGGAAACTTGTTTACGCTTTGAGGCTGACGACGCATCTTTTTGCTATTAAATTGCCGCCAGCCATTTTTTAAAATGACTTGTTTCCAGATTTTTTCGCTTATTTACATACAATACATATGTAAATATGTATGTATATGCCAGTATATACCTTTCACACACAGTACCCACCTAAGTTCCCACTAACTTTGCCGATGTCAGCTGTTTTGTGACGTCACAAAAATCTTTTTATCAGCGTTTTGACTTCCCAAAAGCAAGATCGGAGCATACTTGCTTTGTCGCACTAAAAATATCTTTTGAGACTTTTTCTTCACAGTCACACCACATATCAGCTTGTGCAGATCTTTAAAAAAAAAACCTGATTGGAGCTAACCGCTTGTCTGACTTTGTTTAGTTGTTAATTCTTTTAACTCTCTTTACACACATAAATCTTTTTCTCAGCCTTCTCTCAGAGTTTGACTCTCAACAATAAGTGTAGAGAATACCGTTGCTCTCGTGCCGAGCTAAACTTTTTCTCCACAGACGCGTCCTATATTAGGTCTAGCTCCTTGCTTGTCCGTCTTTATTTTGTTTGTAAAATGTTCCAAGTCTCTTTTATTAGAAATCGAAATTCTATAATTAAAATGAATTTTTGAAGAAGCTTTTCAAATACTAGTATACTTGTACTAGTTAAACCGAGACTCAGTGAAGGACGTATTTAAAGTTTTAGTCTAAAATCCTGGCGTTTCAATAAGCGGCAACTAAACAAGATCGGCGAGATGCTTTAGTTCGCTTTCCAGAAATTATTTGTCAAAGACGGACCGCAGAGTGAAAATTAATTGTTCTATACTCTTTTCAGGGGTCTCACAGAATTTGTTGACCTGCCTTTAGACATTCAAGCAACTCTATTCTAATCAATTTGAAACCTCGCATACAATTGTGTGATTCCTACACTGTTGCACAACTAATCATTGTCTATCTATGAAACTTGGTGTGAATCAACAATCTTTGGAGCCCATATACTCGATAAAATTTTTGTAATTCGTTACAGAGAAGTCCTTGTTTCTTTCGACCTTTCTTTAGACAGTTTGCACGTTTTAAATCATATATACGAGTAGAAGACTGTTTTTAAATTTTGCATCTATTCCGGAATCCTTATTCCATAAATCAACACCAAATCTATTTTTATTATTATGAAAAGGTTATACGTTCTGTTGCACAGCCACTTCCAGCTAATTTTCATTTGTTAACTATTTATTTTTACCACAATGAGGCAATAAAAATTTGCGAAAGCTACGATGTACATGAAATATGGCAGAGAGAGCTGCGTTCGTAGATCGTGTTAATTCTGAACTGCAATATATTCTTATCTCGACCTGACAATGACGCATCACATCGTGAGATATATGTACTCGTATATATTTAGTATGTGTAAGAAGTGGTTTTGAACTCGAAAGTGGCCTTTCTAAGTAATTGTTAAGTTGCATGTGAATAAAGACACATTTTGCCCAGCGCACCAAAAAGCGTTTTTGTTATTCACAAGTGTTTTCTCGGTAGACATACTTTGTTCGGTTGGACTTTTTTCAGCTTTTCAAACTATATTATCTATTAAATCTTCGAAGTTATTGTAAATCTGTGTGTCTCTGAACTTTCTGTTTTTGTAAACTTGTAATTGGATCCTGGTTGAATATTATATTATTTACCAGCATTTGATAACGGTTCAATTTAACAGCCTTCCACTTTTTAAATGAGAACTCCGCTTCGAAGACAAATTATCTAAGTATTGTGTAAAGTTTCGAGCTTCAAAATTTTAATAAAAAAATGGCTTGCTGGGTGGTTTAAAAAATATGAAAACACTTGTACATTTATATAAGTACACTTCAAATAATAACTGCTTATAAAACAATTAATTAATAACTGTTTTTAAATTGAATTGTCGTACAGTGGGTTCAGACAGATAAAAAAACGATCGCAGCATTTTTTTCGCAAAATTATTCACAACAAATTTGCCATAAAATGATATGTATCTAATGGTGAGTTCAGAATGTTTTATTATTATTTTGCCATTTTCATTTAGGGGTGTTAGAAAAATTTTATTTTAGCCAAAATTGCAAAATCACACATCGTTAGTAACATCATATGACATATTTACTACATACATATGTATGAACATATATTTAGGCAGACATATACATATATTAATAATGCATTACGTTTGCAACTTCGTCGGGGCACATGCACAATGTATGCATGAACGTAATAAATGAAACAAGAAAACACAGTTGGATGTTAATAAAAAGTACGCGTACATACAAGTATGCATGTACATATGTACATACATACATACATATTTATATAATATATATGTACATGCATATCACATATGTAGTATGCAAATGGCTGCGTAATTACATATTTTGAAATGGACATAACGTTACCTACACTTTTGTAAGTCCAGTGCTTACTAAAGCATTTAATATCGACTTTCGGGATTTTCATTCGACATTGCTTCAACACAATATTCTCAGTTTTTGTTAATTTTAATGTAGTCCCGAAAAATCCTTATCGACATAAATATTTATAAGCGTAGGTGTTACTAATGCATTTAGTAGCAATTTTTCGGTTCCCGAAAGTTCGGGATTATCGCTCAAGCTTAACTATAACACTTTCACTTTTTGTGTGTTTTAACGTGGTCCCGAAAAATTCGATATTCGATTTTCGGGATTCCGAAATTTCGGGATTTTCACTCGACATTGCTTTAACACAATATTTTCAGTTTTTGTTAATTTTAATGTAGTCCCGAAAAATCCCGAAATCGTTATTCGATATTCACAAATTGATAGCAAACATGACCATTGCACGTAAGCTTATCGACATAAATATTTATATACGCATGTGCTTACTAATGCATTTAATAGCAATTTTTGGCTCCCGAAAATTCGGAATTAGCGCTCGAGATTGGCCTAACCATAACATTTTCACTTTTTGTATATTTTAACGTAGTCCCGAAAAATTTAGTAATCGATTTTCGGTATCCCGAAAATTTCGGGATTTACAAATTGACAACAAACACAAAATAAAAGCATTCATTAAAAAATTAAACGTATGCAGATAACTACCAGCATACATAACTAATTGGCCGGGTGTGTCAATCATTTAGAGAGCAATAAAGCCCAGCACGAACATCTTAAGGCTACGACAGCGTTTCGTGCTAAAACTGGTTAATGTTTTTATATAAGTAGTTTTGAAAGATAAACAATTTCCACAACAACAACAGCATCTCTGGATTTGTGCAATTCACGCCTAATAACAGGTTCAATATTTACATTTCTTTGAATTTAACCGGCTTCATACACTTTTGTTTACTTTTTTGTTGTTGATAATCGTTTTTACTTGTCTCATTGGTTTTATGTTACAAGGTCGAGTTCGAAAGCATCGCTTTTGTGGCCGAGTAAATGTGCCACTCCAATGAAAGCACTTGCTATGTACAAGCATACATATGTACATACAAACATACCTGTACATGCATACATACATAGAGTTGTAATTTTGTAATAAAAAGTTTTATATCTTTACGCACATACACTAATTTTTTTGCTTTGTCAATGCAGACTCAAGCGGAAGCTGAGGAGAAGGCCGAATTGGAGCGCATTCAAAATGAGAGCGCACAGTACTCATATGGCTCAAATATCGAGGACAACATAAACGACGGAGCTATCCAACGCGAAGAGACACGTGATGGTACTAAGGTAAGAAATTGTTTAAATAATATAATATTAATAGACTTGATAGGTATTTTAGATGAAGTGACATGAAGGAGTCGAGGTATAAGCCTTCGATGTAGTCTGATTTGCTGTCGGCAGTTCCGAGGTTTTTGGTTTTGAATGGGTTCTTAATTGAGATCAAAAAAGAAATAAATTTATATATTAAGATTAATAAGAAGTTTTACTATGCGTTTAGAGGTTATGAAATGAAGAGAGTTGTGTTATTAAAGGTTTAGAGTATATGCATGAATAAAAGACTGTATTGATAAGAGTTTACCGGTTGTGAAACCATATGAGACGAATTGTGATGAGCGCTGTTGATATGAATATTTAACATGAGTATAGAGATAATAAAAATAGGAAAGCTGTGTTGCTAGGAGAGAATAAACTTTAAATGAATTCGGTGGACTTGAAAAGTCTTCCATTTATTTAAAATGAGAACACGTATGTATTAAGAGAAGCGTTTGAGATATCGATCTGAAATTTTGCACACGTTCTTTACTTCCCAAGAAGCTGCTTGTTTATCGGAATAGCTGATATCGGATCACTATAGCATATAGCTGAGATGCAAATTGACACATCAAGCTTAAGTTCTTGCATGGAAAACTTTTTTATTTGTTAATATATCTTTACGAAATTTGGCATAGATTATAACTTAAGTCAGGTCTATAAATTCCGAAAAAATTGTTCAGATCGAACCACTATAGCATGTTGCTGCCATACAAACGGACCCATCAAAATCAAAATAAAAATCTTTTTAAACCCTTTTATGCTATAAGAAATGCACCTGTGTAGGATATTATAGCTTCGGTGCAGCCGAAGGTTATGTTTTTTCTTGTTGGAAACGCTTTTCAAACTATTTATATTTTTATTTTCAGGTTAAGGGCATGTATTCATACCGCGATGGTTATGTCATGCGTACCGTGTACTATGAAGCCGATGAAAATGGTTACCGTGTGGTCAAGGAAGATACCCAAGAGATCGGCGATGGACCACAGTTCGATGAGAACGGCGAGGCCACCGTTGAGGGTTCCTTAATACCCAAATACTCCATTCGTTTGGACAAAACTGACAATGAGAAGCACTACAAGGATGCGCGATTCAGTTAAATCGAACGCTTAGCATTTAATGCGTACGCTTTATAAGCATTTGAGTTAAGAAAACAGACTGAAACAAAAATTATGCTAATATTTCTATCCTTGTTACATAAAACAACATGTTTTTTTTTTATTAATTACAACTTGAATTTAATGTGATTTCGTCACAGTGAAGTTACAAATAAAAACGAAATGAAAAATTTACACACACAAATCTTTGATTGAAGCGTACATTTGTTGTTGTAGTTGTAGTTGCATGTAGGATGTATGTGTATGTACATTAACGGTTTAGAACCGGTTCAATGTTACATTGCATACATAAGCGGTTGTTAAGCACCGCAATTTCAGAACATTAATTGTCACAATAATAAAATGTCATATTTTATTGCATACTTGCTCATTTGGAACAAGTTTTTATTTTTGTAAAACCTGTTTCATAGTTATTTGCATAAAGCTCATCGCATGCATAATTGATGTATGTATGTATGTATGACACTCTTCAAACGGTTCCTTTGCTCCGCAGTGGCGGCTCCTCATCGCGACTCGGCTGCTGCGGCAGCTCCATTAAACTATTATTGGATTTCGATATGATTAATGCTTTCTGTGAATCAGTTAAATTTATAAAGCTATGCTTGGTTTGAAGCTCATCTTGTATGGATGACAACAAATCGGGCGAATTGGCACGCCTACCGGCAGCCGCAGCGGCCATGGCGCCCATTAAGCAGACACGCTGCTCATTTGCGGCAGCCTTTTGTACGGCCGCCACGTTCTCCTCATCCTCGATGCTTGCCAGCGCATTGGCTCTGCTCTTCTTGCGCATGCGTTTGGAGCCGCGCGTGATCAGCATTACGGCGGGCGACTCATATGGCAATGCCTGTATGACAGTCTTCAATAGTTTGGGTGGTGTCTCGGGTGTTTTCGGATTACTAATCACCACATCGGCTTTCAATGCGCTTTTGGCACGTTCCTCCTCACGTTCACGTGCCGCATTCTTACGCATAAGTGCGCGTGCACGCTTCTTCAGCATCGCTTGTGCGTTGGGATAGTAGGCGATTACTTCGTTTAAATCGGATTTGGAGAGTACGAAGAGATTGGCGTAGCCTTTGGAGCGTACATCGGCTGTGCGCCGGTCTGCGCCATTTATACCCAACAAACTGATTTCACCAAAGACCGAACCCTCCGAGAGTGTGGCCAAGACAATGTCACTATTTGGACCGCCCATCACTTGCACTTGTCCGAGTTTGATAATGTACATTTCGCGACCCACTTCGCCTTTACGACACACACAATCACCCGGTAGAAAGGTTACAGCCCGCAATTTCAAGACCAAATCGCGTAGCAGTGCCTCTTCGCAGTCGGCGAAAAGTTGTACTTTCGAGAGTGTCTGTATGTGCACGGCGATAGCGATGTCCGTCTTCAAATTGATTGGTAATGAGTCCAAAATGTTAGCTTCATCTGCAGTGGAAGCAAGAAAATTTTGTTTATTCTGAAAGTTTGTATAGTTTAAGCTTTTTTTGAGTTTTTGTAAACTAAACTGTTGTCGAGCTTTTGTTTTTGGTTGCAGCTTTAAGTGCCCTGTATTTATTCAAGTTACTTACCCAACGTACGTTGTTGCTCCCACGTGAACTTAAACCACATTTTCACGCGTCCCTGCACCTCGCTGGGTAAATTCAGACGTCGCATATACTCCAAGGTCTCATCTTCCAATTGTCGATATTCATTTTTATTGCGCGTCGCTGTAGAAATGATATCGCGTATCTGACCGATCAGCAAGGCAAATACAAAGACACCCATCAGCCATGCGGCGGTCATAAAAACATATTCGCCTTCCCGTTCGGGTTTCGGATTTTTACCTGAGGAGGAAGAAGAAGATATAGTTAGAGGTAGTGAGTTGGATAGATGTAGAGTACGCGCGTGGAGTTTAAAAGTTTACCTATAGATGTCGCTGTTTTGGTAGCGAAGGCAAAGCAACGAACATAGGGATGCCCTTTACCGCTGAAAACCCAACGGTTCACGCCTAAACCTAAAAATGGAAACCAATAAATGTATGTCATAAAAAGAGCTTCAAGAGATCCGGTTTATATTTAGATCTTACCTTGATAGTCGCTATAGGCATAGTAAGCGCAAGCCGTTAAGTGGATCATATACAACATATAGGTTAGGGTCTTAGCGACGCGTACCTATGAGATGTAGGAAAAGTCGTTAAAATATCTGTTATATAAATTTAGAAAAAATTACTTACGAAATGTGGCGAAGATATAACACGGTCTAACAACTTGAAAACCTCCCAGAAGCTTTGTATTTTAAATAGACGTGGAAAGCGCAGATAAACAGCGCCGGTGCCATATTTTAAGTAGAAAAGCTCCAGAGGAAGTAAGGCAAGCAAATCCAACTGAAAGTTAAAAATTTGTATTACAAAAGAATTGAAAATTTTATTTCGAGGAGAAGAGAAGAATTGGCTCAAAACAAGCGAGAACAATTTAACATTTCTGCGCTAAAAACAAATATAATATTATATAACGCGGTCGAGATTTGTCGACGTAAAGATCGCAGTTCAATGAAGAATGAATATAACTAATAATAGACTGGAAGTGTTGTATAGTTTAAGGCGCCTGATTAACTAACATACAAATAGGGTCTTGGAGAGCTGATATATAACTGTTAAAAAAAAACCAAAAATATTCACGATTTTAAACTCACCTTAAATTGCAGTTTCCTCATGTAATTCTTTCGTGTAAGATTTTTATTCTTCACCCAAAATCCCTCGAATAGATACATTATACGATGCTTGAAGAATATCACATCCAACAGGTAAATTATGTCCGCACAGAAATCACAAATCAACCAGGTGTTCGTATTCTCCGGTGTTTGAAATGGAAATGTGGAACGTAGCGGAATAACCCAAGCATTATAGAGGAACGATATTGAGACCACACACAACCACGATATGTAGATTTTACCCTGCGGATCAAGCGTCTTCTCCTCATTATTGCTACCGCACAAACTCGAGCAGATCCAAACATTTGAACGTGAAGTGTCGGCTTCGAAGAGACGACCACGATTCAATGACTTTGCGGCATCTTTAAGCTTAGTTTTGAAGGGCGAATTCTCGCGTGTTGTACTCAACGATTTCAAACCGACTGGGAGTGAGCGTACAGGTGAAGCTGAACCACCGGTGCTGGTGCTAGTGCTGGCATCGGCGCTGTTGCTGCTCGACGGTGTGGGCGGCAATTCGATGCGTGACTTCACTTTATTGGCGCGTGCGGTAAAGCGTCGTACCAGATGGCGTACCTGATCACGCACGTCCTCGTTGAGGCTGCGGGGAGTAGTATGAAGATAAATAAATAGAAAATTTAAACGGCGGTGTTGTAGTAGTAAGCTGCTTAAATTTCATACACCGTTTGCGTTTTTTATAAGTTTTACTGTTTGGTTTAAGGGCAGCTAGAAACTGGGTTATGACCGTCAACTCTAAAACCAGACTATCAGGCGAACTCAAACCTCGGACATCAGGACGTCTTAAGATGTGACAGAGCTTAAAGCCTATGAAATGCCAAAGCCGCAACACTCAAGATTTCTTAAAAGGACTACAAATAATATCACACATTTTACCGACTATCTTAAAGAATCAACTGGCTAGTGTGTTGTATGCTAATGTCTCAAATCTTCAATATCGGAATAAGAAAAACTGAAACTGATTGCTGAAACTTCGAGATTCTTTAAGTAGACTATAAATAATTTTAGTTTACCAATTAACATGAACCGATTGGCTAGGTATGCAGCAGCGCTAGCTTCTCAGACTGATTCGTATTTAAATTTCTTCAAAATAAAGATTTCCACCAAAGAGTTTAAGGGACCATTAAACAGCATTGTTTATGTCTAACAAGTTTGCGTGACCCAAACCACTTTTTACTCACCTCGTTGCGCTAAAACGCCTATCAGTAGCGGTCTCCGTCTCCGGCTCCACCGCAGCAAAATCACTCTTTACCAACTCCGGACCGAAGTTCTGCTCATCATTCAACATATCCGGCAGCTCGTCATAACAAATTTGCACATCCTGCTCATCGTCATCAACCAACGCCTGCGACTGTGATGTCGTATTCTCGGTCATTGAAGAGCCAACACTGGTTCCACGCCGATGACTGCTGCTGTCAGACGCTTTGAAATTATTGCTGCCGCCGCTAGAACAACCATTTAAACCATTCACAACAACATCATCATCATTCTCATCGGGCACTGCACCAGGCAACAAAACCGCCGCTTCACAAACCTGCTCCGACGCCTGACCAATAGTAGCCGCATCGGTTTCGACTGTGGTCGGCGTTGTCGGCGTCGATGTTGTTATTGTTGTTATTGATGATGTTGGCGTCGGCGTCATTGTGCCATTCAAGACACGTCGCACGCTCTCCGGACTCACTAGCGGTTTCTCATGCACATACTTTAAAATATGCTTGACCAGCGCGTGTGTGCTCTGTACATTGGAACCATGCTGATCGGCCTCCAAACAACCGATGCGTCCATTGCGAAAGTAAAGCTTCGAATTGGTTAGACGTGGACTGCGCAGCTTCTGGCGTTGCCGCTTGAAGGAGTGCACTTTAAATGTGACCGGCGATGACTTCTGCATGCCCGTGTGAGTCTGACGCTGCGTGGGACTCGGTGTTTTATTCTCCTTATTCGGCAGCGCTTTGCTGCGACGTCGCCTAAGTGGCGGTTCGGCTTTATTGGCATTACGCACAGCTATTTCTGTGGCGGTAATGACATTTTCAATATCTTTGATATCCTTGGAGATCTCCTCGAGGCTGCGGCGCATAGTAGCCTCCTGCTGGCTGGGTGAGTGATAGCGTGTGCTATTAAAGCTGCGTGTATTCCATTTTGTATTGTTCATTGTTGCAATTATTACTTTTTTGTTATTGTTGCTTATTTTACTGCTATCTGTTTATTTGTGCTCATGTCATGCGCCTGACATATGTTGGGTTTGGTGGCGGTGGCTTTGACGTTGCCGCTGCAAAGGTCACTGCTTGTACGGTAACGTTGACTCGGTGACGTTATGCGAGTACTGTTATAGTGCACTCGGTTTTCACACAAAGTGTTTTTCATGCCACAACGGCGCTGCACAGTGTCTTAACGACATTTTTACAATTTTTTTTCTGTTTAAATTTTTTTACATATATATTTTTTTTATTTCTTTTTATTAAATTTTTTTGTTTAATTTGTAATTATTTTATTTTATTTTTTCATTTTTATTTGTTTAATATCACTTTTGTACACTAATAGTATGCAATTCAAGCATTACCACATTTTTTTCGTGGTGTTCAAAATAAATCTAACTGCGTAAAGCCGAATGTCAATTGCTGGCTGTCAAGGTAGTTCGCTTGGACATACCAATTGTATTGAATTCAATTTTTGTACCTCACACAAAGCGTTATAAATCAAAACTAAACGCCGAGCACACACTGGAAACAAAGGCAAAACGTTGAATAAAATTATTATTAGTTTATTTTTGTTTTTCGTATTTGCCGTTTAATTGGCATATGTTTTACGACGCCAGCAGACGAGTTGTGTGTTTCGCATGCCAAATATGCAATCAATCGATTGCTGCCCGATAGTAGTAAATTTTATGTCGCTTTACAGACATACATACATACACACAAACACTATATATTTAATATTGTAATTTTGTGCGCTAGACTTGGCTGACTAATTGCTTTTCACTGTTTTTTGTGCACTTAGCTCAAGTGGATGCGCTTTTGTACGTGTGTGTTTGTGTGTGTGTGCGTGTGTCATATGTTAATTCCACATAAATATGTATATACATATGTATATGTATTGTCATAGATTGGAACAAGTGTCCTTTAATCAAAATTAATTAGTCAACCAGCATTGTTATTGTTGTTTTAATATTGAAAAACTTTAAGCAGCTTGCCCAAAACTACAATTTTATATTTAATATTATAATTAAAGAAATTAATTCATTTATTTACAATATTCTCTTTATTAAGCCACTTTTTCACTTGCAAGCACGTTTAACTCTATATGCTTGCACATTAACTTTTATTTCGCCAACTAACTAGTGCGCATGCGCAGTTTTGCCACCCACTCCAACCACAAAAAAGAAACAGCTGTGCGAACTACAGGTGATATGACCAGTTTCTTTGAACTCGAAATTCTCGAATTTGTTGTTGTTGCTCTTTTAATAAAAACAAATACTTACGTTGAATAATTTTGAGACATGCTGTTTGATAACACGGGCCAATTCACTCTATAGCACAATAGCAACGACTGTGGTGAGTTTCACGTGGTTTAAGCGTTTCTGTCTGTGTGGTCAAAGCTATAAATTTTATAAATTAGGCTTTAACATTTTTAATGCCGACAAATATATTTACATCAAACACTGTTTTTACAACTGTCGTATACACAGTGAAACGAAAAAATATATAATTTATAAATTTGAAATAACCTACAAACACAACATCCGCCGGAAGTAACCTGGCATACACACGCATATGTACATACTCACACGAGCGCCAACACAGTACTACACATACATACACACTCATTAAACCTAACACAAGCGAAGCTTAAGAAAACACTTCACAGCATGCCTCCGACCATCGCTTATAAATAACCGAAAAGAAACCGAATTTATCTTAAACCAATATTTAGTCGAATAATATAAAACCTGAAAGTATCATGTAACCACACACAAATTATTAACAATTATTTTCCGTTTTTTACAAAACATTTCTTATATTGTACTATTGTTGTTTATGCACATAAATATGTATGTAGATATTATAAACATTAGCGTTAATCGAAAAAATCTTAAGTTGCAAGCGCAGTAGAAACATATTTCTCGTTAATTAGTTGAGTGCAATGAATTGAACCGTTACAGTAAGTTAATTTCCTTATTTCGTAATGACCACATTTACTGCATTCGTTTTGGTTATATTTAGATTTATAAGTTTTATTTTTATTTTCATTATATTGTTTAAGTAAAGTACTTGCGTAACATTTACGAAACTTAAAATGTACATGAAGAAGTGTATGCATAAATGTGCGAATCCTCGTTTTGCAATTTAACTTTTATGGTTTCGGCTGCTGCTCTTTACTTTAACATATAAATTCTTTGCATTTGTTTTTATTTTTGCAACTAAGCTGTAAGTTCAACATTTACGCTCTCTAATGGTTTTTCTTATTTTTCTTCTTCTTACGGTGTGGTTTCTTCCTGTTCTTTCGTTCCTATTTCTTGCCACCCTTACCACTGTCTTCTGTGCTTTTAGCAGATTTATCATCGGCTTTTTTGTCCTTGTCCTTTACATCTTTGCCATCCTTCTCCTTCTCCTTATCTTTATCCTTATTCTTTTCTTTCTCCTTTTCCGCTTCCTTGTCGGCCTTTTTACCTTCCTCCGCGTCACGATTCGTTAATTTGTTATTGATGAGATTGTGCAATGCAATGATGGAGCGCACCATCGACGCCAAATAGACGACCAACATTTGATCGTTCGTTTTAACGTACATGGTGTCGGTAAATTGTTCACTCGTGATATCGGGTAGTAAGTTAAAGATATCTTGCAGCTGGTATACAATTTGATGATTTATGGGCATTTTGCCGTCACCAACACGTTGCAAATAATTTTTTATGTCATGCAATTGTGCGTTTAAGCCTTTCAAGCCCATTAATTGGTTGGTAATTTTTTGTGAGAGGCTACCGACTGTGGTGTCCTTGATATCGCGCAGCAAATGTTCGACGCCCACTTCCTCGGCTTCTTCAGCGCCAATTTCGCTGGGCACATGCTCGAAGGTTTTACTCGTCGGTGAACCATCATCATGCACTTCTTCTATTGCAATGTAAGCTTCAGTTGGTAAACCTAAATCTTTGGGTTTCGCATCGATTATCACCAACACTGAGTTGGGGCAATAGCGCCGGATTAACTCGTTTATGGCAATGTCATTTTGATGTAGCTTGGGACCGGTATGATACCAACCGACAACACGTTCGCGTGCATTTACTTTCTTAAACATGCCATACATATTTTCCAAATAATCATGATCTAAAAACCACACTGACTTGTCTTTGTCATCCTCATCGAAAGGAACTTGAGAAACATTAGAAAATTATTAAACAAATTTTAGTTATAAGAATTATCATGTACTTACCAGCAAAACTGTTGGAGACATCAAGAATTCCTTTTGAACGCCAACAACCCAGTAACACACCGACAACACGTCTCTGGTTTCCGATTTTGCCCATACGGTTGAAGTGATCCACCACAGAGAGCAGCACCAGTGGGTGCACAATCACCTTGTTTACATTTACCTCCAGTGATGGCATTTTATTTATTTCCTATTTATATTTGTTAAGTCGGTCGAAAAATTAAACCAGCTAGATGACTTTTGGAAAACTTTTGCTAATAATGCCTATCAAGAACAAGAGCGATGACAGTGGAATAAATTTTCTCATGTTGTCGGCACTGACAATTCAAGCCGATAAAGCAGTTTCACTAATAACAGAGTGTGCAGCCTGCAAAACATTGCTTGTGAAAACGTAGCACATTTTTTATAAATGAGGCATTGTTAATATAATTTTATTGAATATGTTTGTTTTTAAATATAGTAAATAATATAATATTTTTTTCTTGCAAATATTTTATTTATGAATTATGTTTAGCCGCTAGAGGTCGCCACCAACAGAGTGCATTGATTACGATATTTTCTTTGCGCAATTATTTCAATGTATATTGGGAGTTGGAAACACTTTTTTGCTATTTCGCTTTTATATCAGTTTCTACTTTCTACTATACTTCGTAAGTTGATTTAATATATCGGTCGGAATATGTTTTTAAAGTTTAATAAATTTTAGTTATATTATTAACAAAATTGTCAAATATTCGTTGTATTGAAACTATATAGTTTTATTTGGTGTTACTGAAGGCTAAATTGCCGTGAAAAATAGTTGTAGTAATTGTACATGGTGCATTGTGGTAGAAGATCCTTATATGTTCGGCAGATTGCTTACGCTGGTTTAAAGCTCAAATATTTTCAGTTCCGTGTCAAAGAAGCTGTTCGAGTACATAATTTGTGACGTTAAATTATCAATGATATTACCTTTTCAACCTACAATAATTTTTTTTGCAACTTTTATTACCTCGCATGACCAATTTTAATCATATTTTGTCCTACCTTGAACAGGGCTGCCAACTTGTACGCTTTCGTGCTGATGCGTCGCTATGAGAAAATGGGTGTGCGTTCAAATCAGTGACCTTGCCTTTGATTATAAAAAAGTGACAAAGTGCTTTAATTTCAATTGGAACCTTTCCCATTTTGTAATAAAGATAAATTGAAGTATATGGCATAATATTGTAAAAGTTTCGTTTGGTTACATATTTCGTGTAAAGCACGACAGTTGGCAGTCCTAAAGTAACCGCCATTTTATTTTAGTTATATGTTCTTTTAGGTTTCAGTGCTGTCATGAATCAATGTAAATATGAGTGACTAATAGCAATAGCGATAGTGATAAGCGGCACATTTTTACCTCATCGTGAAAAACTTTTGTGTTTAATAGAAGCAAAAAAAGTGTTGCGAAAACTTGGCTTATAATGTTAATTAAATTCACAAAAGTATAAACGAGCTATGAATGAAATTGCCGAGTTGCCACGCGAAGAGCTAACGAATGGCAGCTGATGGCTGGTTGGCTGACTGGCTAGCTATTGACTTTGCCTGTGCATGAATGAACCAGGAATGCAATAAATATCGACTAGTTTCTCTGGCTGGCTGGTTGGTTGGGTGTTAACACTTTCATATCTATGTACAAATAATACTATTTTGAAAGTCGTGAAAATTTTATCACTTCTGCATATTAAATGATAACAGACAAGTTGATAATTTTAATAACGATTGGTTTTCACTGAGGTATGCAAGGCCGACTACGTGAGTGTTACTGCTGCCAAGACAAAACATAATAAATTGATTTTCTCAATGTAACGTCTAGACTTGGATATTCCACGCTAAAAAAGCATTTCCATGACCTGTTATAGTTAGTTAAAAGTCCAATGTAATTGTGTTGCGTGATTTTACTAGCCAATTAATTGTATCAAACGTGTACAATTATAGTACATATTTAATCCGAGCCTAAGTATATGACATTAGTGAAACATGCAGTTTTGTTTTCGTAGCTTAGATGAGTCACATTTTGTACACTGATGTAATATTTAAATATAGCAAGTTCCAGCTTTTGCAAACAATTGAATAAAAATTGTAAACGTTTCACGCTACTCATAAACTTAAATCATATGCTAATCACTGTGCCAGATGTGACAACAGTCATAGCAATCTGCTAAACATCTTCGTAAACAAAATATTCAGTAGGGTCCGGCGAAATCTACTTTCACCATACCAATGTGCGATTTTAAAGTGCATATTTTATAATATAAATACATGCATAAACATATTTGATAAATTATTGAACCGTTCAGTAAAAAAAGAACAAGATAAATTGATCTCTTAGTTTCATACTGTTGAATAATTCCATTCAACCCATTTCAATTGTTCATCATTTTTATTATTGCTGTGCATTTTTTGACGCTTCAAATCTTTATTTGGTTTTACAGTTCTAAACGTAACCGATCACAAAGGCATGAAGACCTAAATTTAAAGCCGATAATTAAATTAGAGAAGAGAGCAGAATCGTAGAGAACATTGAACGGCTAAAACGCAAGCGGTGGTAGGGGAACACGTGCGTCGTAACAAATACGGCTACTACTGCTACTGTCGCTATCGCTGCTGCTGTTGTTTGCGCGAGAAGGGTGACCCCTTTGCTTATTGGAATTGAGTGTAAAGTTGGTGGACATGATTTTGGATTGATTTGAAAATAATACAAAAAAACTAGAAGTAAAGAAACTGAGAAGCAGAAATAGCTACTGAAGAGCAATTAGCTGCTGCATGAAAAAAGCTGAGTAAAATGAAAAAAAATCCAACTACTTTTGTGTGTTAAAAGCAAAATGTAGTGCCTTTGGAGTGTAAAACTGCTGTGGATACCTTTCGTTTTTTTTTTTTTTGGAACGTTAATGTAGCAACTTACCCTTACGACATAAATATTTAGCTATAATTTATATACATTAAATAAGCATAACAATGTCGTTCATAAATAATCTTAAGAAAGTATTCCACCTTGGTGGTGGTGAGGCGAAAAAGAAACGCCTTTATAATAACATCAAAATGGACACAGATCCGGCGGAATTTTGGGAAATGGTAGGCGAGTTGGGAGATGGAGCTTTTGGCAAGGTATATAAGGCGCAACACAAAGAGCAAAAACGCTTTGCTGCGGCAAAATTGTGCACATTGGAAGATGAAGAGAATCTAAGTGATCACATGGTTGAAATAGATATTTTGTCAGAAATAAAACATCCAAATATTGTGGAGTTGTATGAAGCGTTCTCAATAGAGGACAAGCTGTGGGTGAGTATTTCAGCCAAACATGCATGTATATGATATGCTGCTACAATACCTTTTTTGAATGCGCTATATTACTGTTTTTTTTTTGCAGATGTTAATCGAGTATTGCGATGGCGGTGCGCTTGACAGCATAATGGTGGAATTAGAGAAACCACTCACGGAACCACAAATAGCCTACGTTTGCCGGCACATGACTGAAGGTTTAAATTTTCTACACAATAACAAAGTGATACATCGAGATTTAAAAGCTGGAAATGTATTACTAACCATGGAAGGCGGTGTCAAATTAGGTTTGTACATTTATTTTGTTTAAACTCATTAAATTATAATTTATAATCTTTTTCGCTTTACAGCTGATTTTGGCGTATCAGCTAAAAATAAGCATACTTTACAGAAGCACGATACGTTCATAGGCACACCTTATTGGATGGCACCAGAACTAGTGCTGTGCGAAACATTTCGGGATAATCCTTACGACTTAAAAGTGGATATCTGGTCACTTGGCATAACATTAATCGAGTTAGCGCAAATGGAACCACCAAATAGTGAAATGTCACCGATGCGTGTTTTATTGAAAATACAAAAAAGCGATCCACCAACACTGGATCAGCCATCAAAGTGGAGTAAGGAATTCGTTGACTTTCTAAAGAAAGCTTTGGTCAAAGTGAGCGCCTCTAAGAATTAATGCAATAATTAGTTTTATGCTTACATTTATATATATAAAATGTTTTTCTTATTCTAGGATCCACAACAACGTCCACCCACAGATATTTTATTGCAACATAAATTCATTAATTGTGAACTAGACGCTAAACCCATAAAAGACTTATTATTAGAATATAAAGCTGAAGTTGTTGAAGAAGTTGTCGATGATGATGCTGAGGTAAGCGTTATTTCTTATATATCTCTATTTATAAAAGCGCCTTACTATTATATATGTACATATATACATATGTATGTAGTATGTACAGTTTGTATGTACAAGTGCAAAAATAAACACCTGCTTTCAGTATTTAATAATTAATAAGTATAATATAATAATTTTTTTACACGCTGCTAATAACCTCGTGCAATGCGTTCTTTTCCATAAAACTGCACACTAATATTACAAATAAAAATAAACAAATTATTTGTATACGTTTCACGTACATTGTTGTTGCTTTTAGAAGATTAAACGTCAAGTGAAGCGGCGCTCTCTTTATCAGAGGGTTGGTAAGTCGGTGGTGAACTGCTTAACGGCCTCGTGTGTCGTTTATTGTTTACCACAGAATTTTTCCCGTCGTTTTTTCTAACTTTTCATTAAAGTTTTATTAATGATTGCATGTCACATGTTTTGAAATTGCATCATAACGTAATCAATATTTTGCTTTTCGATTGATTTCTTCAAAAAATCATTCATTTCGAATTCATGACTATGTTTTTATTGTTTAGAAATTTGAGATTTTCTTATTGAAAAAACAAAAGTTCGAATAGTTTTTGAAATTTTATGTTTTAACTATATTATAAAATGCAAAACCAAAAAAAAATAAAAAATATCGTAAAATCAATAAAACTTGTACTAAGTAATAAAAGTAAATACATACTTACAAGTATATTCTTTAAAAAATATATTTGTTATGAATTTTTATTTTATTTTAGTTAAACAACTGGTTTTGTTATTTAAATTGACGAAAAATAATAAAAATATTTTTTTTAAATTAAAAGCTTAATGTACAGTAAATCAATATTTAATATAATTTTTGTTTAATAACATAAAACATTTTGTAATCACTTCGCACATCCGTAAATTTGAGTGTCATCGTAAGCTTTTTAGTAGTACCACCATTTTTTTAATTTTTAGATTAGTCAAAATTTTCATTAGCTGTTTAACTTTACTGTAGTGGCTATATTTTATTATAAATGCAGATAGTTTTTAACAAAATTTTATATAAAAGAATTTCAACCGAAAACTTTAAAAAATATGAATATAATTTTTTTAACCCATTTAACTTATTTCATTATAATTTATTTGAAAAAAAATTAAAAAACTTATAAAATTTAATTTAAAAAAAAAAATTTGTTAATGCAAATTTGCAAAAAATTGAAAATTGTAAAGCATACAAATTTTTTCAAAGAAAAAATTAAAAACATTATTATTTTTTCAAGTATTTTTAATTTTTTTTTTAGAAAACAATTTTTTTATTGTTTATAAATTAAAATTATTTTCTTATTTAAACAATTGTTTTATTTGAAATATTCTAGCTCATATTAATTTAAAAAATTTAAATACAAATATTCAAAAATTATTAAGCTCACTTTATATATTTTAAAATTTATTACACAAAGAAATTTCTTTAAAAAAATATTTGTTTTTAAATTTAACTGAAAATATGTATATATTTTTTAAATTAGAATAAAAGAAATATTTTGAATTAAAATAAAATAAAAAGTATCAATTTTTTTATACTAAACTAAAAATATAATATTTTTTATACTAAACAAAAAAAACATATTTTTAAATTGTATTATAAAAAATTTTCAAAGAAAAAGATTAAGCAATTTATTATTATTATTTCAAGTATTTTATTTTAGCAAACTATTTTTTTTTTGCATTTTTTTTATCAATAAAAATTATTTTCTTATTATTTAAACGATTCAATTCTATCTAAATTTATATGTTTTTAAATTAATTAAACTATTTAAATTTAAATTTAATTAAAATAAAAATAAATATTTTAAATCAAACAAAAAATATAATACTTTTTTATACTAAACTAAAAATATATATTTTTATATACTAAATTAAAAAAAAATATATATTTTTATACTAAACTAAAAATATAATTATTTTTTAATATTTTGACTTTTTCAAAGTTATTAAAAATGTTTTTTTCTTCTTCATGTTTGGGTTTAATACTTTCCACTATAACTTTGCGTAATTTGAATGAATAAAGTTTTGCTCTTTTATATACAGTTTTTGTTAATTATCTGCATAAGTCCAAAAAACTCCTTGAAAATATTGCGTTTCATTATGAATAATTTTCCTACAACTTAGGAACCCCGCAACTCGGCGCTCCGGCTCGACCTGGACGATGACTCTGCCTCTTTGCAGAGCCAAGATATTGACAAACGTAAGCTTCATCTTGCCATACACTTACACACATACACACGCAGTCGTTGTTGTGCCAAGCCTAGCCATATGATACGATTTATTTAGTTCCAGGTACCCCAACATCAGTATCTATGGACTCTAAAGAACCAAATCAAACAAATAGTATACCACAAAGTAAACTATCACAACAACAAGGCGGAGCTGCAGAGAATGCTTCACCTGTTTTGCAAAAAAGTCTTGAAAATAATATAACACCAGCTTCTAAGGGGGCCAAAGAGGATGAACCAACATTTAGCGTTAATAATGCGCCAAAAGATAATGACACGAGTAAGACGCTTTCAACTGCTGGAGTGGTCAGTAAGCAAGCAGTTGCTACCAATGCTGCCAACGAAGCTGCTGATAGTCTTCCTGAGAGAGGCGTTGACGCCGATAGGAAGGTGAGTTATGAATATAATATATTTTAAGTAAGAAATATTTTACTCATATTTTCTTTTCGCTTTTACATATACAGATCACCAAAAAAGAAAAGGGTAAAGCGCCACCACCACCGTCTGCCGCTGCTGTGATCACCAAGCCGCCCGAAGCACCGACACTCGCAACGGCAACTGCAAATGCACGCACTGAGGTGGAAAAACGCAGCAATGAAGAACGTACACCAGCACCGCTAGCGCCCATAACGGTGCCAATCGAGCTCACCAAAAATGTGGAAATCGATATACAAACACCGCTTGCCCCACAACACTTTGGCAATGAGCCGGAAGAGCAGCAAGCGCAAGTGCCAGCACCACCACCATCTCCGCCTTCACCGACCACATCGTCAGCAGCGGTTTCGGTGAATTCCGCTTCATCGTCGTCGATGAAGAGCGGCGCTATGCTCAGCTCGAGTACTTCGCTTATCACCATAAATAGCGAGGCTTCACCAACCAGCACGCCAACTCGTGCGTTCAACAATCAGGCACAACCACAACAACAACAACAAAATGTAGTTCATCCCAATAGCTTGGAAGCTGGTGTCAGTCAGATAAGAGTTGTGACCAGCACGCATCCACCGGTCATAATTGACAATTCGGTGTTGCCTGCCGCTGCTGCCACTGCGGCCACAGCTGCAGTGCCGCAAAGTGAAGTGATCATTGTTTCGAATGATTTGAATAAGAGCACACATGTGCCGGAATCTTCGACTGATGATGATTTTACTTCGTTCGATGACAGTCTGGGCGATTCACCGCGATCGCCCCGTCAATCATCCATGATAGTGGCCGTTTGCGAGCAGAATGCCGAGGAAACGGATAAGGCGGACACAAATGCCGAAAATAATCAGTCCATACACGGTAAAGGTGCGCGTGCGCGCAAATTAGACGAGAGTGAGGTGCTAATTGTTAGCCCATCTTATGTTGATGATGACTCCGCATACAATACAGCCACGGGCAGTCACGAACACAGCGAACATCTAATGGACACTAGTCACGTGTCTGTTGTGACTGTCGGTGATGAAATAAAAGTCAAGGATAGTAGTCATCTAAGTACCGATCAATATGATACGACACTCAGCAACGACAACAACAATCTGAATAATCAACGGCCATTCATAAAGAATCACAATAACAACCACCAAAACGGCCAAATTATCACAGGCACACCAACAGAAGATGTAAATATTATTATAAATCGTAATACGCCACAAGACATTAGTGTTGGCAAACGACCGTCACCGGATAATAGCGTAGGCTCTATGGATTCGCGTACACTAAGCGATAGCGGTTCGTTACGCTCGAGTGGCGGTGTTGTACGACGCGCTGTCGGCTTGAATATTGCAACGGTTGATCAAAGTGACGTTGAAAGTATCGGCACCACAACTAGTCATGATAGTCGTAATGAGGCGGATACACCCATAATGGGCACGAAGATACCCGAAGATGAGGAAGTTGTCATACGACGTAAACAGGGTGCGCCGAAGATAGTGGCACCCACTGGTCCGACTAAAGAGGAAATCGAATTACGTAATCTACGTAAAAAGACACGTAAACGTACGCGAAAATTCGAAATCGATGGTGTACAAGTGACGACAACCACAAGTCGCGTCATTTACGGTGATGAGGAGTCTGGCAGACTCTACGACGATCATGTGTTCCGCAAGCAAGAGTTGCGTGAATTGAAAATGTTGCAAAAGCAGGAAAAGAAACAACAAAACGATTTGCAATTGAAGGAGCAAATAGCGCGCGAGCAACAGGATCGTCGTTTCGAACAGGAACGCATCTCACTGGAGAAGACCTACGAAGCTGATATGGATACATTGGCACGACAGCAGAAACAGTTAATTGAGCGCACGGAACAGGCACAGGAAAGTGAGGTGAGTGAAAACTGTTTCATATTTTTGTTTAATTTTCTTTATTAAAAAGTATTTTAAATAATTTTCGCAATTTATTTTTCATTCACAGTTGCGCAGCTCATCGAAACGCATACGTTCCGATCAAGAACAGGAATTGAAAATATTCCGTGAGAATTTGAAACAAGAAATCCGTTTGCTTAAACAAGAGGTTGACTTGCTGCCCAAAGATAAACGTAAAGACGAATTTAAACAACGTCGTTCCGCCATGGAGCTCGATCATGAGGAGAAAGAGCGCGCCTTTCTGGATTCGCTCAAAGAACGCCATGAATTGCTATTGCGCCGATTAAGCGAAAAGCATCGCGATCATCTTGCCACTATCAATCGTAATTTCCTACAACAAAAGCAAAATGCCATGCGTACTCGCGAAGCGTTACTTTGGGAATTGGAGGAGAAGCAATTACACGAACGCCATCAGTTGTCCAAGCGGCATGTAAAGGAGTTGTGCTTCATGCAGCGTCACCAAATGATTGTGCGACACGAAAAGGAATTAGATCAAGTGAAGAAAATGTTGCAACGCAAAGAGGAAGACATGATTAAAAAACAGGCATTGGAGAAGCGTGCGCTGCCGAAGCGTATACGTGCCGAACGTAAGGCGCGCGATTTGATGTTCCGTGAGTCATTGCGCATATCCACGAATCTGGATCCAGAGGTTGAGCGAGAACGTCTTAAGAAGGTGTGTTGGTGTTCTTTAATATTTTAATTAATCGTATTTACATTTTATTTAACATTTCCAGTTTCAAGAACAAGAAAAGAAACGCTACACCTTAGAGGAGCGTCGTTTTGAAATTAAGCACCAAAAGCAGTTGGAGGAATTGCGCGCTACACGTGAGGGCGCAATAAGGTAAGCACAATTTGTATTTTTAACCCAAAACATATTTGTTGAGTTCCACAAAAATTTTATTTCGGAATATAACTTACTTCAACCAAATACACTGTGTTGCAGTAAAAGTTTTCACTTTATTTCCTGAAGTCGTTTTTGAAAACAGCTAATTCAAAGTTAAATAAATAAATAAAAAATAAACTTTAAATAATAGAAATAAAAATATTGTGCAAACCGTCTTACGATTATCGTAAGAACGGAATTATAATACGTGAAGCGCTAAAATTGTTAAAACTGGTTTGAAATTTAATAATAAAAGTATTTATTCTAACCTCAAAAAATTTCCATAGCTTCAGAACGAAGAAAATAAAAGAAAAAAGTAGTCTATAGTAATCAGCAAATAATCAGCGTGACGAGCTGAGCGGATTTAGCCTTGCCTGTGTGTCTGTCTGCTTAAACACGTACTTGTTCTTCAGTTTTCGAGATATCGATCTGAAATTTTACAAACGTCATTTTCTCCCCAAAAAGCTGCGGATTTGTCGAAGGCGTCGATATCGGAGCACTATAGCATATAGCTGTCATATACACTGAACGGTCCAAAACATATCGTTGTATGGAGAACTTTCTTATTTCAAGAGACATATTCACGAAATTTGGCAAGGATTATTTTTAAAAGCAGCGGTATTGTCTCTGTCAAATCGGACCACTATTGCATATAGCTGCCATACAAACTGTCCGATCAAAACCAAGTGCTGCTATGGAAAACTTTTTTTATTTGATACGCTATTTATACGAAATTTTGCATAGTTTTTTTTTCGAGACAATGGTACTATCTCCGAACATATTATGCAGATCGCACCACTATAGCATATAGCTATCGTCGTCCGCTTACGTTTTCCGCTATTTCTCTATCTAGTTATACAAATATTTTTCTGTTTTTTTGTACCTACAATACATACATATAATAATAATGATTGCAGCGCAACTTTGAAGTTTTTTTCTAGCTTAGTTTAGGCATTGCTTGTTTTCAAATTATAGGTTATGCTTTTTGTAAAAATCATTTACTCTTATTTAAACATTTTAAACACAATGCTTGCCTTTGTTCTTCTCTCTCTCTCTCATTTTCTCTACAGAGAGCTCGAACAGCTGCAGAATGAAAAACGCAAAGCTTTGGTTGAACACGAACAAGCCAAGCTAACGGACATCGATGAGCGCCTAAAGGCTGAGTTGCGTGAATGGAAGGAGCAATTAGTACCTAGAAAGCAGGTAAATATTCGTTCAATTTGACGTAATTGCCGTTATTATTTTAGCACGAAAGTTATATTCTTAACACTTTATTTGTTTTTGGTTTTTTATGCAAAAGGCTAGCGGCTGAGTTGAGCGCGAATGGGCGTAGTAAAAAGCATTCAAGCATTTGTCCAAGTTGAATTTGCAATAATTTTGATTATCAGTTTGTGCAGACGGTGTATTTATATGTTATTGTTAGGCAGTGGTTCCATTTTTTATTCTTTCTTTTTGGCATAATTTGTGTATTGCTGTGAGAAATTTTTAATTTTTTTTTGTTTGTTTCGCTATTATTTTGTTTGTATAATACACCTACAAGCTCATATACATATGTATGTGTGTTTTGTGCACATATAGTCTCAATACATACGTACACATACATTTTTAAGTTGTTATACATATTCCTCTACTCACTAGACAACAGTCTGAATGCGTTTACGTTGTGCTTTTGTTGTTTAGCCTACATATTTTTGTTGTTTATTTTATATTTAACAGTTTTATGTTGTTTGTAGCATAAATATTTAATGTTTATTATGATTTTGTGCCAGCTTTAATTATTAGTTCGTTAAAAATTTGCTTTGCGCTCAACTCGACGCTGTCTCTGGTGCTTAATTTACGTGGTGGCGTTGTCTGGCTTAACTGTATTTTTTTTAAATTTATTAATAATTTGTTGTTATTATTGGTAATTTCTATTGATATAACTTGCAAGCTTGTGTTGCGACAAACTAGCCAAACAGCCTTACGAAAAACTATTGTTTACTAAATACTTTTAAGGTTAAAACCTCGATTTAAAGACTTATCTCTTATGTATATCCTCTTCTCTTTTAACCGCTACATTTAATATGGCTTGAATTTTGGATATTAATAATGGTATTGAATTTAATACAACAAATTTTTACTACTACTAATCATTATATGCTGAAATTGCATGCAAACCTGCCAAAAAATGCCAAACCAAAAAAAATCTCTCAAAAAAATTTCAAAAACTATTTATATACATAACTGCATATATTGGGCATGGGAATTTTGCTGTTTATGCTTTGGCGTTGGTACTGCTTTTCGAAAAAAAACAACAAAAACAAACCTGCTACAGAAACTTATCGATTTGCTTAACGCTATGTCTAAGCGTTTTGAGCAAAAATATGGTGCCATACCCGAACGCTTGCCATTCACCATGCAAGATATTGTGCTGCCCTTGCAGCTGCGTGGATTCTTCAATGATGCGCCACGTTCGCTACCGCGCGGTCTCTTCCTCAACGACAATCAAATGTTGCGTTCACGCACCTACTTTACGCTCTCATCAGATCCACGTGCCAAATTCACCGGCTCCACACCGGATCTGAGCCGTAGTATGCCCACCACACCGATTTTTCGCAAATTTGCGCAAACTAAACTGCGCAGCGATAGCTTAGCGCTGGAGCGAGCGCCTAAATTGCGTGAGCAACGCTCAACAGCTGATATTGTTGAGTTGCGGCAGGCACACGGTGTGCTTACGCCACGTTTTGCCACCGTCGACGCTGCGCCAACAACAGCGACAACAACTAACAACGATATTATCGATATGCCAAGTGTTGCTGGCCAATTGAAGGCAATTAATGTGCAAACACCTACACTCGGCGCCAGTCGTCAAGTCGACATCGAACGGCCGACACTTTCGACTTTTCGCAATACAATGCCGGCACAAAGTCGAAATGCACCAATGCGTGATGCGGATATTGTGAATGATCGCTTTAGCAAAAGAGATAATGTAAGCGTTGATGAACCAACAGCATCATCTGCAGCAAGAGCAACAACAAAAAGCGCATTAACCAACAATGAACCCGAATTGCGTCAACAAGCGCAAAATCTGCTTTACTCCTCATCGTTTGCTATTAAACGCCCCTCACTCTATGGCAGCGGTCGCTCCTCTTTAGGCAGTTCACAGTCACTCTACGACATTTACGAGGGCACAACGCGCTTCAACAACGAACACACTGCGCCGCCACTGCCGCCCATCGGTTTGGCGGGCAGGCGGGCGAGCGCGCTGCTCGACAGCATTGAACCGTCCTTGCGCGCTTCGATTAAGTTGAACAGTGTACAGGAGCTGCATAATTTGGATGATAACGAGGTGAAATATACGATACCGAGAATTGGCACAACTGATAGAAAATCGAAGAAAAATAAAACTATCAGTCCTTTAGAAGAGGACTCAATGGCTTAGAGCAAAGTGTGTGTTTCCATGAAGCAAAGTATTTGGAATGACATGCAATTAATAATAAGATATGCGGCTTATGCTAAAAGAAACGCAAATGAAATTGAAATAACTGTAAATCTTAAGACCATTTAACGCGCAAAACGTAAACGAAGTGATTTCGAGAAATGAAATGGTTTACGAGTGTACTATCACTCCCAACTACTTACATCGCATATCTGCATATATACATATTCATGCTTTATATAATTGCTGCATAAAACATCGTTGCTCCCACATATGTGTTGGCACTAATGTATTTTCGTTTTGTTTCTTATGTTTTTTCGTATTTGTTCGTACTCACGCCTTTACATTGACCATCCCACGGCACTTAAAAGCAAACAAACAGCATTGAGCGTGTGTATGGATGTATGGTTGGTTTGACACTAACTGTTGTAACCGTGTATAAATACATGTATATAGTGGTGTGTGTGTTTGTGTGTGTGTGCGTTGGCGTGTTTTAAAAGGCGCTACACTATGTAACAAAGAATAAATAAATTTTATTAAAACAATTTTTTACTACATAGTGTAAATATTGCAGAGAAAGCGTTGCCATATTTTTTTCTGTTTGATTAAATGCCATTCAGCTACAAGGTTAAAAAAACAAACAATCCAAAGGAAGTATTTTTTCAAATTATAATATTAAAATACTTAGATAAAGTGAGAAGTATAGTATTAGGCGCATGCCTGCTTTGGAATTTACAAAAATGTTTTAAAAATTCATTTATTTAGACAAAAATATGAAATATGTCCATTTGAAATTCTACAAGCTCAAAGCACTAATAATAGGTTTGAGCGCCTACAAATATGCCAAAAAAATTATGTTTACCAAAACAAACATTAAATGTGTTTGCAAATTTTTTTTTCATTATTTATTGTCTTTCGCCGCATAATATTGCAGTTAAACTTAAAGTTAGCCGCACTAGATTAGGATTTGCGCCTAAAAGTTGTTACATACAATTTTCCAGCTATTTGTATTCAAGCCTAGAAGATGTTTTATTTAGTTCCAAAACATAATTTGAGGATAGTTTTCGTCATTGAGTGCTCAAGAGTTGCCATATTTTCATAATTGCGATGTTGCATAGATTTGCGCGCCATGGTAAAATGTAGTTATACGTTTTTAGCGCCTAAAAGATGCCATATTTAATTGAAAAGGTTCTTGCCTAGCGATTGTGCGTCAAATAATTGCTTTTGCTTTTGTTGCGTTTTATGTAAATCCGCTGATATTGCTACGGGAATTTTTTTTTATGGCTATTGCCTACATTTAGGCGTATAATACTATTTTTAGATTAATAAAATACCAGTTTGAACATGAAAATAATAATATAGCAAATAATCACAATAGTAGCAAAAAATTAAAATAATCGCAAATCCTATTAACTATGGTAGGAGAATTTTGTTTATGTCTATTGCCTACATTTAGGCGTGTTATAATTTTCAAGTTCATAAAATACCAGTTTGAAAACGAAAATATATTATAATAATATAAAGAATGAAAACAAAAGCGGAAATAAATTAAAAGAGACAAGTATAGACATTTTATGAAAAATCGTATAAAAAAAATATTTCATAAAAAAAATGTTGCACTAAAAATATTAATGTAATATAAATTCAGTCAAGTTCATTGTAGTGAAATTGTTTTTTTTTTCTTGCCAAAGAGAATCGTGTATGCTATGTTGCATATTTTTAGGCGTTCGATGAGGTTTTCCGCTTAAGTAAAAAAATCAAAAGAAAGTTGAGCCCACGTCTTATATATTCCATTTTATTGTGTGTAATAATAACCCGTAGCATATTTTTAGGCGCAAATACTATATTTTTCTTTTAAAAGGTGCGGTCGTTAAGCTCTTAAAACTTGTTCTAAATTTCTTTCTGAAGCATTTTCACTTAATTCCAGCGGTCTTTAACAGTCTTCCACACACATATGTAGTTACGCGTTTGTGTCCAATGAAATCCAAAAAATTTTTTTTGCCATAAAGTGATGTTTGTAATCAATTTCGTTGCCATAAAAATCTTGCCAAAGTTTTGCTGCAGCTGCAAATGCGCGCTTACTAAGCGGCGCGCTGCTTTAAATAAATAATAATTAAATATACATACATACACTTTAATTAGTATTAGTGTAGGCATTTATAAATAAAATTTTTGATGCACTTATATTTCCAAAAAACAAAAAAAAAAAAACACGCGTGAGTTATTAATATTAAGAAAACATATATTTTCGTACTAACATAAACACACGCATAAATCAATGCAAGCAATCAAAAAAAAACACGTATTGCCAAATACATATTTTACGAGTTATTAGCACCAATATAAACTAATTGCAAGCAATATCAAAAAAAGAAAATAATAATAATAGTTTTAGAGGGTTTGCGTATAAGGAGAGGGTAGGTGTAGTGTCAAAATGTGCGCTTATTTTACGATATTATAAAAAAATATTTTTTTATAACTAAAAACAAATAAGTTTTTTATATTTAAAAAGATAATTTATAATTAATATTTTCAAAATTTGAATTTGATAATTGAAATATAATTAATTTTATTATAACAATGTTTTTGTTATAAAAACATATTTTTTATAATTAAAAATAAATTTATTTATAACTAAAACTATATACAAATGTATATTTAATAACAATTTTTTTATATTTTATTTATCAAATTCAAAAACAAAATTCAAACAGTGTGTAAAAAATACGTTTAATCTTTATGTCTTAACATTCTATTTACATTTCTCGCTGTTTAACATAACATAACCGATAACATATTATTGTCTATGTAGCAAGGCATATACTTACATACATGCATTATGTAAATAGCAGTACTACATAAGCGATTTAATACGAACATTCTACTATAGATTTTTGATTGACTTTTCTGTAATTTATTTCTTAACCGGCTCATCTGTCAGCTCTTCTCTATTTACACACTATCGATTCCACTAATCCGTAACGTTCTACATAACCTTAATTTTCAATTCCACCTAATCGTTCATTATGTTCATCTGTTGTTGTTGTACCATTTATTGTGGCACGTTTATCTTCTTTATATCATTTGGTTTGAATTTCATTTAAATTAGCGGCTGGAGGAGACATTCGCACAGCAATTGGACGAAATGGAATCGTTGTATGGCGGCGCACTGGTAGTTTCCATGCCGTCCGACACCTTACAGCGCGATCACTTTACCGGTTCCACACGCAGTAGTCTGTCGTCCTATTCGGAGGGTTGAAGGCACATTTTGTTGACTAAGAAATATTCAAAAACAAAAAAAAAAAAAAAAGAAACAAAAATAAAGAGCGGAATAAATAAAAAATATACATATATATATACATACATATATTTAACGAAAAATAAATAAATATGAATATATACGCGTATGAAAATTAAATTAATTTAAATTCCAAAAAACAAAACCAACAAAAAATAATGCTAAATTAAATTAAAGCGAGCGAGCAATTGAAATGTTAAGCGTATAAAACGAAAATAAAAAACGAAGAAAAGCATGCAAAGTTTAAACAGTTAGTCTGTCGAACAGAATGGCTAAGTAATTTTAAATATACACTTACACATATATATATATATAAATGAATATTTTTTAGTTTAAATATCTTCTTATATATCCTAGTTCTACTTAATTATTATTATTATAATTATAAATTTATTGTGTGCGTCCAGCCAGTTTTCGCTGTCTACTGCGCCGTAAAATATATTACACACATACATGCCTACTACCTACCTACCTACCTACCTACCTACCAACCTAGCTACATACATACAAACCTATCAACCTCCCTTTATTATACCAACCACTATTATTATACAACTTTACTTCCATTAATATTGTAAATATATATAAGCCTTCAAAAATAAATGATCCAATATTGTAACAGATCGTTAAAAATGCGTTTTTCATTGATCAAAACAAAAAAAAAAGTATTATTAACCTCAATTTTTTTTAGATAATTACTGCATAGTTGAACTTGAACTCGTTTGTAATACTTTCTTATTCACTAATTTGTATTAAAAAAACGATTATTTGTTGGACTATGCAGTTGTTATCATCAATGCGATTCTTTAGGGGTTATGTTATATCCACTACTGACAAGTAAAAAAAAAAGCGGTTTTGTGTGAATTTTCTTGAAGAGACATATTTTGTAATAAATAAATAAAAATAAAGTATATTTACAGAATTTAATGTATTTTAATACACAGTGATTCATTCTGAAAAACTTAGGATTCCGTAGCCGATCTCCAGGAGGATCTCCCAAAAAAAGGTGTATGGCGGTGTGAAAGATTTTTCTGCTTAAAATTAACTCAAATCCAAAAACCCAAAAACAAAAAAAAAATGTACAGCTGTTTATCATGTATATAAATGACATCTTCAATACTCTACCGGAAATGGCTCTCGTAGTCTATGCTGATGATACTGCAGTGCTTTGCTCTGGTAAAAATTGGAATGAAGTTAAAACACGACTGAATAGATGGTTGGAGATACTAAATAAATGGTTACGAAGTAATCAATTATCTCTTAACATAGACAAGTCAACATACATCACTTTTGGCAGTTATTGTGATAGTATACCCGTCAATTATATACTAAATATAAACAACAGAGAACTCACAAGAGTAGATCAAAGCAAATATCTGGGTCTGTACTTTGATACACATATGAAATGGAATTTTCATGTGAACGAGCTGGCCAAAAAAGTCAGATACTTTGCTTTCCTCTTTTTCAAAGTGAGTAAATGGGTTGACATAAAAATCTTAAAAACTATATACTATGGACTTTTCGAAAGTGTAATCAATTACGGAATAATTGCCTGGGGTGAAGCCTACAAAAATGCTCTGTAGCCTATAACAAATATGCAAAACCGTTTATTAAAGTTCTTTGAAAACAATTATGAAACTAATTTGCCACTTGACATCAAGAAAACTTTTATTGTTAAGGCTATAATACAATACTATGAAAAGTGTAAATCAAAATATCTTACCAAACAAGTACAAACTAGAGCTAATACTCTAACATTACCAAAAATTAAAAAGTCAATTAGCATTAAAAATGCATATTATATAGCAATTAAGTACTTTAACATGCTTCCTAATAATTTGAAGATTCTAACATGTAATAAAAAATCTCTTAACAAAAATCTAAAATCCTGGATAAATAACTTATCAATATAGTAAATTTTAGCTATCTATTAAGTGATTAATTTTTGCTCTTACTTGGTATAATATATAATTTATATGTATAACTTTGTCACGCAATATTTAGTGTAATGTACTATTATCCATGCTAGAATATTTATAATATTAGAAAATAAGATGTTAAATATATTGTTTTTGTAATGCCCTGGTTCTATGCACAGATGTTAAACATCTCTATAGACCTGTACCAGATGAAATAAATAAATAAAATATAGGTGGTAATGATCTAAGCTCAGCATGAAATGAGTCAACGCATGACACTAACCACCTCTTTGTATGCTCAACGAATTCACATCTTACAGCTTTCTCCCTATGGGCCGTGCCCGTCAAAACAGCTCGTTTCCTGGGCCTCCTGTTAGATGACTTCGACGACAACCAAACTGGAACCACCCAAGCGGCGATTAGATAACCGTTTCAACAACAAGTAACGACAAGTCAAAATTTAAATTTTTGACCTAATGGCGGTTTCCCCAAAAAAACCAATTTTGTAAAAATTTTTCGAAGAGTTTTCTCGAATACCATATATGTACATATGTATGGGTCTACCAACAAGAACGACGTGTTGTTAAAATGAATTAAAACTTGGTCAAAATAGCCATTAAGCCAGAAATGGCCTCATTTGAGAAGGTGATTTTTCGATGAAAAAAAGAAACAGTGGCCACCGGAGAACATGAATTTGCGTAATAATTTAGGATAATTTCCAAGCGCTGTACCAAAGTGTAACGTGACATGATGAGATGGCAAACTTACTGAACACACTGACAAGATTTGACACAAATACGTAAATAAACATGGCCGCCACGAGCTGTCAAAATCACATCATACCTATCTACGACGTTGTACTACGGTCGATAGAAAAAAACGATTTTTTTTTAATTCACAAGTTAAGTTAAGGGATTATAACCTCAAAATTTACAAATCGCTTACAACTTATTCCTGAAACTAGAAATATTTAGTACATATAGCATAATTTTCCTTTGACTTTGGAGACCACGATTGTGTTATGCAAGACTGATGTGCAACATTTGAGGACATTTCGTCACGTAAAGATCACTTTGGATTGTCTCTTGTCTTATTCAATATAGATGGGATTTGAACTGTGTCGCTAGCGTCTGAAAGGGCCAAACCGTCCGCTTTTGCTTTCCTCGGCTCTCTAATAGAGAGTTAAAGGGTTTACCAGCTGACCATTCGTCTCGCTTTGGCCGATTGTTTTTCGCTCTCTCCTGATATATGTCGCGATTTTCAGTGAATTATAATATGAAATAAATCGATGACTAAAAAAGACCGTCCCGGACAAACACACTTGACGATTTCTGTACTGTATACCCATGAGCTCGAGGCAAAAGTCAGAGTTGCAGTCATTAGTTTCCAACTATGTTCTACAGAGAAGTTGCCTGTGAAGAATTCTGAAGCATAAGTAGTTTCGTCAGACTTCATATTTTTACTCACCACTGAGTACATGAATATCAACGTCATTGCCATTGATAGAAAATATCCATATACGAGTATATAAATGATCAGCGTGACGAGCTAAGTCGATTCAGTCATGTCCATCTGTCTGTATGTACGCGAACTAGTGCCTTATTTTTAAGATATTGATCTGAAATTTTGCACACGTGCTTTTCTTCCGAAGAAACTGCTCATTTGTCGCAACCGCCGATATCGGTCTACTAAGCATATAGCAAACTGACTGATCCAAATTAATTTCTTGTATAGAAAACTTTTTTATTTGACAAGATATTTTCACGAAATTCAGCAGAGATTATTCTTCAAGGTAACGCTAAAAGATCCGAGCATATGATACAGTTCCGACCACCATAGCATAGGCTGGCTGGATAACTTTTTTATTGGACAAGATAACTTCTCGAAATTTGGACTTGTTTATTGTAAAAGACAAAGCTACAAACTCCGAACAAATGGTTTAGATCGGTTCACTATAGCATATAGTTGTCATACAAACTGACCGATCAAAGTTGTGATAAACATCTTTTTATATACTGTTATGCTGATAAGAAATACACCTGTGAGGGGAGTTATCTACATTGCTGCCGTAGTTAACGTTTTTGTTTCTTTTTAAATTTGTTTTTGTATATTAATTATTTTATTTTTAAACTCAATTCAGTATTCTCTCTGCTCAAAGTCTATCATTTGAAATGACATCACATATAAACAATTAACTCTTGCAGTTATTATTTCAAATTTACGCGGATTTTCGCGGTAAATAAAAAAATAGCTTACAACATCTTAAAGATGCCATCAAACAGATATTTTAACAGCTACAGTACATCCACCCTGCATTCTGCATTCTCGGCAGCATTCAATTGCAGCAACAACATGCGTTTTGTGCGAAAAATATTTTATCGTTGATATTAACCTAAATTTTTGAGTGTACGTGCACACGAACACACACATGCATAAATGGCCGCAGCAACAGGCTCGCTAGGAGTAACAGTGCACAACGCGCTGCTCGAAGTCCATATTGATTGAAATAGTTCAGTTTTTCATTTTGTGCTGCTGGCTGGACCGAGAGATAATGATGACGAAAGCACAGCGATGACGAGACGACACCATGCGATGAAGCTACTATGTCGCTAACAATAACAATAACAGCAACAACAACAACGACACACATAGCATGTGAATATTCTGAGCATGTATATATATATATATATATGTATGTGTGTGTATGTATGTTTGCTGTTTGTATGCGTATATTTGTTAGTTTGTCACAAAAGTAGGAATAATGTGCCTTATTGTACCTCCAACTGATTGGGATGCCTTCCCGCGGTACGTGCGCTGAATGGCATAATCAGTTCGTTTGGGAAACAGAATTCAAGACGTACATCAAGATTCAGTTGGCAATAATATGAGGGCAAAAAGAAAAACGCCCCAACAGCACCACCACCACCACCCGACTCCAAGGAAAGCAAGGAACGCATTTAAGTTAAAACAAAAACAATACAAAAAACAACAACAACAAAAATAAACAGGAGTAGAAATCAAACGCAAGCAAAACAACAACAACAAAAGCAATCAAGTTACGAACTGCATTGCACAAAACCAAGCAGATAACAAGCAAACAAACTGCAAAAAAAATAACAACAACAACATTAAAAGAAATAAATAAATAAATAAAGTGGCGATAAAACAGGATTGCGTCGCTTGCATTTTAAATAATCGATCGGTTGAGTAATCGATAAAAACAGCAGCGCGGCAGCGGCGGCGGCGGTGGCGGCCGCAGGATCGCTGGCAAAAGAATAATTGTACGAGCAATTTTGTATTGTGAGAATACTTTGGTAAATGAGCTTTTATTATGAATACATTTACTATTGTTGTTTTTGTGTATTGCTCTTTTTTATTTTGTTTGTTTGTTTGTTTGTTTTCGCCCGCTTTATTAAGATTAATTATGTGGCCGCGAAGCGTGTCCTTTGATTAAATGGCTATTGCAGCGCACAAAAACGAATTGCGCGATAAGAAGACGAACAAAAAATGCCGCTACATTGTTAGTGTGCTAATTTAAAAATTACTTATGAATATATTTCCATGGCAAAACATAGAGAATGGACTGATGTAAGATTTGAAGTTGCTTAAATCGACTATTGCAGTAAAGTAGAAACGTTGTAATGAAACGCTGAATAGCTGAAAGCATAACTATCTTGGGTTTAAAAGGTCGCTGAAAATATATGAAAGTTTTTG